TTATTCTAGTGATAATTACTTACCACAAAATTCAAACTATGTATCTCGGTCACAGGCTGCATATTTGCCAAATTTGGTAGAGTGAAATGGTAAAAAGTGATAAAATCCCTGAATTATTTAGAGAATTATTTAAGGTGCATATTTGCAATTCGATCCACGTCATCTTGGCCGTTTTTTGGTAGGCTAGGATATCTCTGTGAGGACAGTCGTTTCCGTTTGTGCTCAGAGTCAGACTAAATATCCGCCAACGACCAAGTTTAGCAGATCTGCTTACACAGTATTACATTACCGGGAACAAAGCGGATTCCACATCAGATGCGGAATCAAATGGCAAAAGGGAGACGTGGCGCATCTCCCTTTCGCCACGACAAAATCTACCCGGTTTCGGCGACAGGGTTTAAACAGGAGTGATTATGCATGGAAATATTTACTGTGATTTTCATAATTTAAGCATGCAAGTGAGTAAATTATCCAAATCACATCAACGGCAAGATTTTGATCTTTACCTGTTTTTGTAATACAATGTTCCTTCATTTTTTTAAATCGGCTCTCACACTATACAAATTTCGAATTTTTTTAAATCGGCTCTCACACTATACAAATTTCGAATTTTTTTAAATCGGCTCTCACACTATACAAATTTCGAATTTTTTTAAATCGGCTCTCACACTATACAAATTTCGAATTTTTTTAAATCGGCTCTCACACTATACAAATTTCGAATTTTTTAAATCGGCTCTCACACTATACAAATTTCGAATTTTTTTAAATCGGCTCTCACACTATACAAATTTCGAATTTTTTAAATCGGCTCTCACACTATACAAATTTCGAATTTTTTTAAATCGGCTCTCACACTATACAAATTTCGAATTTTTTTAAATCGGCTCTCACACTATACAAATTTCGAATTTTTTTAAATCGGCTCTCACACTATACAAATTTCGAATTTTTTTAAATCGGCTCTCACACTATACAAATTTCGAATTTTTTTAAATCGGCTCTCACACTATACAAATTTCGAATTTTTTTAAATCGGCTCTCACACTATACAAATTTCGAATAGTGTAAAGGTAAAAACCGATAGGGCGCCAAAAATTGGTGTATTGCGTAAAAAATCCAAACTTTCCATGTGATTTAGACATATTCGAATAAACAAATTAAGTTTTTGGTTCCCTATCAAAGTAATTTGTTACTGCTCGGTAATGAAATAATGTGAAGCTACGGATTATTTGTACTAAATTATTACTTGTGTATTATTATTTAGAATTTACGGAAATTGAGACTTTATTTGTAACCTTTATAAACTAAATCAGCAAATTTGAGTGTGTTATACCCGCTCTAAACTATTTTTTGAGCGGGAACCTCTAAACAAACCGTGCTAATTCCTTAATTTGGGGCACCCTGGCGCATTACACGAAATAAAATGTCACCCATCCCATCCGTACATATAAAGTTGAAAGCAGCAGCGAAACCAAACCACGAGGAGACAAAGACAAAGGTTTCGAGAGACAAAAGTGGAATGTGAAATGAAGAGAAAGCAAAAGAGAAAGCAGAGTTGGTCGTCGGGTGGGAAAGCAATGTGACGCGGACCAACAGCAGAATCAGAATCAGTAAGGAACAAAGAGAACCAAGAGCACAATGGGGACAAGAGGAATTTTGGGAATTGGGAGCTTTTTATGTTTTTATTTTCTCTACTTTAAAGAAACGTATGTGTGCAGTGGGGATAAAATGCACTGTAAATAATGCGGTAAGGATAACTTACGCAAAGAGGTGGTTCTAATACCAACGCGGTAATTGTTCGTAACCTGTGTGGGATCAGGATTTTAAGGTTGAAGTCGATCTGGTTACTGGGTAAATTCGTGCAAAATCTGCATATGTAAATATAGAGGCAAAGAGGGCCAACTGTATATTAGGAGATTTTTTAGTGAGTAAGAGGTGCACTTTTTGCACCCATTATTCCAATGGTACAACCAATTCTCACGGGATGAATAGCTGTTTGGGGAAAATGGGAATACAGTAATAATAAAGGGCGTAAAGAAAGAATACCAATTTTTTGAAGAATTTTATACTCATTTTTGTCGGTTTTTGGGGAATTTACCCTCGAAACTTCATTCATGTAAATGGAGGACCAATTTTGTTTACCATAGTAACCTTCACAATTTGTGCATTAACATAGTGAAATTTGACGATGAAAATTTTATTAATTTCGAAAAATAAGTTTCCTAAATTATTTAGCTGCCTTGCCAGATATGACTTTACGGTATGCCCACGATTTAGATTCTCGAAGGAGAAAAAGTTAGTAAGGATGGATGATAGGATGGCGATGATAAAGGTTCCTAAAACGGTTTTTAGTATTGCAAAGGGGCTTATTTTATTTACCAATTTTTACAAATCGGCATGTGTTTTTCTTAGAGTTGTCAATTAATGTTATCAATTTATAGAATGCATTCTTGGGGTGATTTTCAGATATAAAATATGATGAAATTTAGTCATGTAAAAGATATTTTCTTAATGTCCATATAAATTATTGTAGGCGAAATTAGCTGACTTCTACTATTTAAAAAAACATACGCACAAGGCACAAAAAACCTTGTTAAATATAAAATAAAAAGCACACGATATGTTGGGAACCCTGTCCAAAATGTGGCCACATTATCCACTCAGCGTCAATTTGCCTCCTTCTGAGCACATTAAGAAAGCCGAGCGTCGTCGTTTGTTGTATTGTGGGAGGGAGGAAAATAGTGATTTGTTTCCCGGACCCCCTCCCACCAGCCACTTTCATTCCCTACCAGGAAATTTCTCCCCGTCTTTGCGGTTTCGTCAACGTCCTGAATAAATGGAACTGAACGAAATTGTTTGAATTTTTGGAATAATTGTCCTAAATTGTTTCTCAACAAGGAAATTAGTTTTGTATTGCATTTTCATAGTTATTGGTCGAATTATTTACTTAAATCACGAAATTTTTCTAAATAAACTGCACAAATAGCGATTAATTCTGGCAAAATTCTGGCGCATCATCCTCACGAAAGTAGTATTTCAAAGAGAAATTGTAGGATAAAAAGTTACCTTGGGAGAAAGTTAGGAGAAAGTTGGGATAGATTTAAAGCCTTTAAGTAACCCGTATTCTCCACAATTTGTTCGGTTTCTTGTGAGGAGCACGGCATAAAGTGTGTCGTCAATTTGAGACGTCTTATCTTATCTGCATATATCTTATCATTCAAACTACGGATATAAAATGGACCATATTGGACCTATCAATGGGACAAAATTCACTGAAAATTGCTCTCACACATTACGTCCGATCCCTTCCGCTATTAAACTCGATTTAAACGAAGATGAGGAAACTTTTAAACGTTGGAATTTGTATCTTTTAAAATAAATGTCTTGGGAATTGACTAATCGGAGATGAGATCTCATTCGTGCACGTGGTAAGAGATTCTGAAATTTGAAATCCAGGGTTTCAGTAAAAATAGAGAAATGTAATCCTATTTGAGATGAAATTTTAAATTGTTGTTTCCGAAGTCATGTTAATTCTCCATAAAATATTTCAATGGAGAAAATTATTTAGTAACTCCGTTAAAATTCTTATCGCTTTAAATAATGTGGGAAGTATGCAAAAGTGACTAAATATTAAGTGTACTCGGTAAAAAATATTAGACTTCAAACTGGTAGTTTGAAACCAGGGAATAATATTTAGTACGCGTTTAATTCGTTGAAAAATCGCATACAGCGACTATTCTCGCTCATATTCCAGACGGAAAATAGTATAATTAGCGCTTTCTAAGTTATGACCACATTTATTAGTGTGCACAAAACTTGGACGCTCTTACCAAGACAAAAAAGTCAGAAATTCTCTTTTTAACTTTTTATTCTGTTCCACCATCTGCATTTTATCAGCACTTATCATCTCCCCCTTTCAAGGATAATTCGAGTTTTTACTACCACTTTTACTTCCATCTCGGAATAAGAAGAGAAAGCGAATGTGAAAACAGGGTTGAAACATAGGTCACAGTCCTGCATACTCCGACGTAAAGAAATTTCAGGATTTTTCCCAGAATATATTCTAAATAATTTTGTGATAAATTGTTACCGCATAGTAACACTATCGTAACAAATGGTCCTTTGAGGGTAAGAAATTGTCTCCAATGTCGGTAATATTTTTATTACCAGATGGCTTGGCTTTGCGGGCTGAGCAGGATTTAGTCTCTGTATATAAATATGTTACCCTTCGGTGATAAATTATTACCGAAGAATTGCATAGTACCTCCGCCGGTAACAATCGTACCATAAGATTATTGAGAGTGTACATGATTTTCTATGGACTACGCAGTTTGTGAGGCCTCTGATCTATGCGTAAACTTTCTTTCCTGGGAGGAGATGAATTCTCAAGTCTGCTCTTTACGCGAATAATTTGCCATGTGCTGTGTTGTCATTCATGACGAGAGAGACATTATTTGCATAAGAGAAAGTTTTGGATTTCACATTTCCCTGCTTTCCCTACTACTCCTGCATGATGGGAGATACTCGTGTGGAAAATTTGATCTAATGTAATGTCATGACGTCATTTTGAAAATTTTGTGGTTTGAGGTGATATTTTCGGGTTACAAATTAGATAGTAGCTCCATGTTGCCCTAAATAATTCGTATAAAAGATGCATTTCATTTTAAAAAATTGCATTTCAATGAAGATGTTTTTGTAAAAACAAATTCAAGCAAGTAAATCAGTGACAAAATATTTACTTATCAAGCTTAATATTTCTGTAAAAATCGGCAAGTATTAAATTAAAATGACATATAACACTTTCACTCATTGAGGTTTGCGATATATTTTTATATTCACTAACTTTAAAACTTTATAAATTGTGTAAAATTTGGGATGAAAAAAATAGGAAATATCACTACGTGGTTTACAAAGTTTGGTCGATGCATATACGTTTTGAAATTTCTCGGAAATATTTCATAATATTTCAACAATTTTCTTTTCTTTTTGAATTTCAGGTGCATTAAAATGTTCAGACACCGAGTTCCAATGTTCCAATCAACAGCACTGCATCCCATCCCGATGGAAGTGTGACGGTAAGATTCTGTCTACTTTTAAATATAAAACTTTTTATTTCAGAAACTCTGTTTAAAATTTTATTTTAACATTTTTAGATTTGAATATTTTTAAAATTCAAATTTTTCATTTTTATTTCAACATTGATTATAAGAAACTTGAAATATTTGCTTGAAATATTCACTTGTTGGACTTTATAAAGTTACTTTAAAAAATATCAACATTAATTTCAAATATTATTATTTGAGAAAAAACTTATTTCATTTCAAACTTGGAAATATGTTTTTTTTTCATAAAATTCTCCATAAACTTACGCAATTTGGAATCAAATTTCTTCCAGGTGAACATGATTGCAGCGATGGGAGCGATGAAGATCCGCAGATGTGCAGTGAGTCCCACTTTTCGAAATCCAATTCATATTTTTTTACTTTTCAGATAACGAAAAAAAACGATTGGAGAAAAGTTATGTTATGAAACTTTCTCTCCGTCGGAGTGAGTTAGATTCTTTAATAGCGAAATGTGTCAAGTCACGTTTTGCAAAGAGAGTAAAAAGTGAACTGGTCTATTTACTCGGAAACTTTAGCTTTAGAAAAGGAGAATAAGAAGCAATAAAAAAAGTTGGGAAATTTATCAGTAACGAAATAATATCAAGTTTATAGTTGCGATGGAAGTTGAAACTTATTTTCAAAGTTCAAAGAGTAGGAGGAAGAATAGTAATGAAGGTTATAAAAGGGGTCGATTTGACCGATGGAAATATGGAATTGAGATGCATACGTAATATTTAGATCTTATTTAAGAAATTCACAAAACTTGGTTTTCGTAAATAACATTTTTTTTAAATCTTGCATAATCTTTTTCAATATTTCAATATTTTTGATTAAAAAATTAAGACCTTATTTAAAGTTCGTTCATATTGATGACATTATGCATTTCATAAATTTGAGGTATCAATAAAATGAAAAAAATGTGAGTTGAGGGGGCAAAACAACACTTGGTAACAGAAAAAATTAGAAATCACGCTACACAATAATTAGGTAATTTCAAAAAAATAAAGATCAAAAATGTACAAGAAATTAAAAACAGAGCAACTATTTTTGTGACGACTTCCTCTAAGCAAAATGGTCCAAGGATTTGTTTAAAAAAAGAAATCCAGGCAGATAGTTGCCTAAATGCACTCTAAATCATGCGGTAACGTTTTATTACCTGTTTGTAAATATTTTTGTAAGTGGCATAACAGATTCGACACTAATTTGCAACCAATTGTTAATACGGAAGGTAGAAACATAACTTCAGCGATGACTAAATACTTCTTAAAATCAATAATCGGTGATTATACAACCTTATCAAAAGTAGCTAATTCTTGACTTGGTTACCATTTAAAAACGGAGATACCAGCCTCGGTAACAAAGTGTTACCACATTTTACAGTGTGTAGTCAACTAATAATTAGCCCTCGCTCCCATTCATATTCCACGACGACTTCCTGTTTACCTCCTCCCAGTCTCTCATTAACTACAGCTACCAACCAACCCACGCCTATTACTCGCTTATTAAAGAAGTCCTCGTTAGTTGAGCGGGGCTCATTGTTAGTCCACGGAAGGAGAAAGTCGTGAAAGGGAAGAAAGTCGGCACGTGGAGGAAGTTTAATAAAATCCTCCTTTTTCGCATATCTTCCAGAAACGAAGTTTAATGAGGTCCCGACTAATAAAAGTCTTGAGTAAAAAAAACTTTGCTATTTCCGGACAAATGTTTGTGAAATTTTGAAAGGAAGAAAGCTAAATTCTAGCAAAAATGGTCAATAGATTAATTTAACGGATTAGGAGGATTTGCGTAATCCGCGTTTAATGAATACTCCAATTTGTTGAAAGTTAAAATTTCATTTAGAAATCATACCTTGTAAATCTTGGAGAAAAAGTACAATATATTATGCAATCTTCAATGAGGATATTCACATCATTCAAAAAGGTCGCTTCGTAATTCATCTTCGCAAATTTTGCAATGTTTGCGAAATCTGTGTCGTGTTCGACCTGTTTTAAATGAAAATATTTAAACTGAAAACGAGAGGAAAAATAAAAATTCATTTAACAAATGAGTTTGCGAAATATAATTCACGGCGTACATAAATATCCTTTTGTTTCGCATATTTCGTGAAAAAATGAAGGATTGGTTATCGCATCGAAACTCTTCGCAAACATTGTAAATTTGAGAAGATACATATTTTGTGAAGCGACGTTTACTACGTTTACGAAGTTGACGTGATTATATATCTCAATTTTGTCCTCTTACATAATTTTTAATTAATTGTATAATCGCGTAGCCGTTAAGTATATTTTTCTAAATCGAATTTGGTATTTAACATTTAAGATTTATTTATACTTTCAAACTTCAGCCATTGTTTTATTTATAAGAAAAAACTTTTGTTTGAAATTTCTTTGATAAATTATTTGCAAAAATTTAGAGGCCGTGCAGGGCAGTTGTATTGAGAGCGATTTCGAGTGTTCTCGAACCCTCTGTATTCCCCTCGCTTGGGTTTGCGATGACAGTCCGGACTGCCCTGATTCCCGAGATGAGAGGAATTGCAGTAAGTTGAAGAATACGACGAAAAGAAATGTGACGATAACAGTTGAAGACGAAATCTAACGACAAATTACCAATTATGATAATTGATAGAAAAAAATATTATTTTCGAAATTTCGAGGAAATTAAATAATTTGGTGATAGTTTTCTGATGTAAGTAGTTGTTAAATATAAAAATGGCTGAATGGCTGATTAGGGTAAAATGAAATCAATTGCTACTGAAGTAACACACGATAAGGTGGATAAATCTCTTAAAGTTCGTCAATACAGGACAGCTCGCGATGTTTTTATCAAAATTTTGGCCTTTTTCCTACAGTAAATTATACAATTAGTTTTCGGTTTTCGAAAACTTACAGAGGACTCAGCTTTTAACAATTTAATAACACGAACATGTTTTTGGACTCGATTTAGTAAAACTCGACATCTCAAATTCCACCGGGTGGTTAATTTCGCTTGCTACGGTTTGCTTTCTCCAGAAAAATTATAACACTAACAGATCGAATGGTGTCTTAAAATTACGAAATAGAAGTGAATGCATCTAGTTTGGAGAATTACAAATTAATTTTTGCATGATTGTCTCATTAACACTGAAGAAATTTGGTCATTGCAAACATCATAAATATCAACAAAAGTCTGGTTATTACCTATTATTGCATCGTAAACATTAATAAATCCAGCTAAAATATTTTTCGGAGTAGAGCTTAATCAATAACTAATAATAATTAAATTAAATTTAACCAATTAAAAATTGTGTATTCAAAATTCTTCAAAAACTTATATTAAAAGTATACTTATTTATTTGATTTATACCACAAAAAGATGCATTTCAGTTTTTTGCCTTCTTTTTTAAGCGTGTCATCAGTTACACAATTTTATGCAGTTCGAATTAATTAGATGAAATCGAAATATTGTATTCATTTATAAAGAAATAAACTGCACCAATTGCAATTTTCTTTTTGATTTGGTTCCCTAACCACAACACATTATTGTCAAAAAAGTAGTGAACTTTGAAAAATTCAGTTTACTTATATAACTTATACCCAGGACTATTTATTTATTTTGACAAACAACACAAAAAGAGAGGCCAAGAAAGATCGATGACATGTTTTATGCACGCCCACAAAGAGAAGAAATGAAGTGAAAGAGAGTGGATCAGAGACTATGCAAATGTTTGTGTAATCTGGGAAAGTGTTGTTTACGCAGCTCGAGTGAAATATACTTTACAGTCGGTGGAGCAGCAGTAGTGTCCATCACTCGTCCCTTTCATTTCACTCTCCTCTGCGCTGGACGTGTGTAGGAGAAAGTCCAGACTGCATGAAAGAGAACTTCGCTTTGTAGGCGATTTGTTACACGGTCAAAGTGCGCTTTTATGCAGAAGTAGACAGAAACAAAACATCAAACGGATTCAAAATCGAGTTGGCGAAATGTTTTAGGAAACGAGGATCCAAATTTCGAAAAATTTCAATTTTGAAAGTGTGATTCCTAGGGAAGTAAATGTTTTTAAACATGGCGAGTGCATTGAAACAAAACATCAAACGGATTCAAAATCGAGTGGGCGAAATGTTACGAAATTTTAGGAAACGAGGAACAAAATTTTGAAAATTGTTGACTATAATTCTGATTTCTAGTGGAGTAAATATTTTTTAACATGACGAGTCCTAGAATCTTGTAATCAGCTTTTGTAACTCTGAACTAAACTTAATTTTCTAGAAATATTTACAAGTAAAACGTGACTTTTAAACAGAAATTTTAACGCCAACGGTGTTGAATGCATAGTGCGATATTTATATTTTGCAGAACCACTGAATTTCTCAGGAACAGAATTTCGAAATTTCTTAGCTAAATTTCCGACTAAATTTCCGAAAATTACTAGAATCAGACACAAATTGTACATGTATTTTAAATCTACGTATCACATTACATAATCAAATTTCAAGCGGATCCTGCTTAATATCTTTTCCTTCCGCTTCTGCCTCTTTCTCTCTTCGTGGTTCAGTTTGGTTTATTGAGCAGTCTCCAGTTGCAATTTTCCCTTTAAAATGACGCCTACCCAGGACGGCCGGATGGAATTAGTCGTCCTCCCTCAACGCGAACAAAGAGGAAAGTCAGACCTATTTAAGCTTCTGCTGATCTTGTGCGAGTGAAAATGCGGTGGGGGCTCGAATTTCGGAATAAATGAGCAAGACGAGAGAGAAAGAGCGGATTAAACGGTGTGCGGAGGCATAAGTAACGTCCCTCCCACTCTTAATAATTTGGTTATCTAACTTATTACCATGGCTGACTTTAAAGGAGCATTCAACATTTCGAATTAAGCTAAATTTAGGAGACTAGGATCATTCTCAATTTTGATTATTTCCGATTCAAAATTTTGATATCTTAAGCTAATTTATTTATTTTATCAAAATTTCGGAAAAAAACATCATTAGTATTTCCAACTGTTTCATTCTATTTTTTAAACATTCACTAAAAAAACTTACACAATTGAGTTGAAGTTTGAAACCTATTTAAACGTTTTGAAGATGTAAGCATACAACAAAGTTTCAAATTTATTCTTAGCAAAAAAGTCAAAAGCTTGTCACGAAGTCATGATAGTTTTCAAGATGAAAATTGTATATACAAAATTAGATCAAAAATGTTAGCCCGATGGGATATTTACATAAATTACAAATTCTGTCTAGATTTCTAATTTACACGACAAGATTTTCGTTAACCTTATAATGTATGTTAAGCGGTTAGACAGGGCTAAAATTCTAAAATTGTGAGATGCGTATGTACGTTCATCCAAATATTTGCATTATTCTGCACCAACTTAGAATTATACGAAATCTTGATGAAATCGTGTCTCAAGATGATCCCGATTAAACTTCATCGTGACAGTTATGATTATTAAACTTGATCTTACAAGAGACCAAATTGGGCCAAGATTGCCTACGCGACGGGGCATAAATTGCGTTTCTACTTGGTTTACCTTCCCCTCCTTGACGCGATGACGTAATGGTTTGACACTGAAAATAACTTCTTGACTTGACTAAAATGCTGGTGAAAGTAGGTTGAAACTTGGGTGAAAGTGGGCCTAACAACTTGTAAACGAGAGGCTGCTCGAAAATTGGGTACGAATTTTGGGTGACCTGTGTTCCACGAGGTCAAGAAATTTACTGGATTTATTGATAAAATGGCTTCCCAAAGTTAAGAAAAATGTAATTATAATCACTTTTTCGTCGTTTTTTCATATTTTTTTCCCTAAAAAATGCCACACATGGCTTCCCAAAATTAATCTTAAGTTTAAAAAAAGTAATTATGACAACTTTTTCTTCGTTTTTTCATCTTTTTGACCCCAAAAATGCCACCACGAAACCCGAGTCAGGGTTATTTGTATTGGGCTTAGGAGAGAAGATTGGATTGGATTGAAACGTGAATCCACTCGAGTTGGCGGAGGTGAAGATGAGGTGACGCTGAATGGCGACTAACGAACCGTGTTGGGCGAAAAAGGAGAGAAAGTCAAGGGCAAATTCGACTCGTGGCAGTTGAACAAAGATTAACTCGGAGCAGGTGCATTTCGCAGATGTCAGACCAGAATTCGGAGAAAGTTAGATTGATGACAGTTTGGAAAATTTTGTAAGGAGAAAGGACTGGTAACAATCCGTTACCGAAGGGTGACGTATATGATATATGATACAATTGCTACTTGTGTGCAATGTTAAACGGGATGCTGACCTAATGAATCTGGAAGAGCAAGTTATATATTTTTTACATTTGCGAATTATTTTTACGGCGTTTTAACTCGACATATTTAAAGATATGCTAAACATACTTACAACAATGCTTCTAGCAAACAAATATTTGCATGATTAACTAACATCAGGTAATTTCTGAATTGAAAACAATTCTCCACAAAGAAACTACGAAAACAACTTAAAAAAAACAGAAAAAATCGAAAAAAATCATAAGAATCTCAAATAAAACTTTTAGAAACAATTTTTTGGTTTTATGCAAACAAGGTACAGAGTATAAAATTTGCGACATGCAAAAAACACCGCTTTTTATAACAACTGGGTCTAAATAAAATTTGCATGATTGGTTTAAATAAAATGTGCAAATTTTTGCAAAATAATTAGCAATATGGTGTCTAATTTTCAGGCAACTTCACCTGCAATATCGATCAGTTCACCTGCTTGGAAGGGACGTCGAAGAAGTGCTTGCCGCTCACCTGGGTTTGCGACGGCACGCCAGATTGTGCGAATGAGTTGGATGAAAAGGCTTGCAGTAAGGGGGAAATTTGCAAATTAACATAATGCTAATAATTGAATGACAATGAACTAACAAAGATGGGACAAAATTATTACTAATTTTGTGTTAATTTTATTCTGCATAATTTAAGCCAAGGGAATAATTTAAAGTAAAAAAATGCACGTATTTATTTAAATTTTTGCATGGCTTACAGAATTAATTTTTAATGGACAATATAATTGAGTAATTTATGTTTGGAAACGTTACAGAATTTAAACCACTATGGAAAAGTTTCCTAAGTTTCGAATTTCTGACTTATTTTTCTTGACACTTTGACCTTGACCTTAGATTTTGTGTTGACTTTATACACATAATTCCCTAAAATTTGTGTAATTTATATGCAATTGTCTGTTACTAAAATAAGATGCGACCTGTACCTCGAGCGAGTTCACGTGCAAGAATGGAAGGTGTATCGTGTCCCATTGGAGATGTGACGGTGAGTCTGAGAAGTTTAAGTTTCCTGGAAATTATTTTTTTCCAGAAATTGTTGTGACTATCTAAAACTAAATATTTCTGCAAACAGGTAACAACGACTGCACGGATAATTCTGATGAGGAAAACTGTCCCCCGAGAACTTGCACGCCAGGAAAGGACTTTATGTGCAAAAATGACTCTTCTTGCATTTTGGCGAATTGGGTAAGCATGTAACAAGATGAGATGTATTGTATGGGTAAGTTCATATCTTTAATAAAATGGAATGCATTTTTTCCAGAGATGCGAATTTTATATGATATAAGAAATTTTTTTTTTGTAAATCTGTTTGATAAATTACTTTCAAAAATTTAGAAGCCGTGCAGGGCAGTTGTATAGAGAGCGATTTCGAGTGTTCTCGAACCCTCTGTATTCCCCTCGCGTGGTTTTGGCTTTGGGTTTGACTTTGGGTTGGACTTTGAGTTTTTTAACTAAATATTGCTCAATTCAGAGTTTTCGTAATCATAATTGAGCTCGTCACTGCCATCCTAATTAATTCAGACAAGATTTATGAACTGAATGCGTTCTTTGTTTGGAAGTAAAACTGCGGTAATATCAATAAAGAAAATAAACATTTTTACTTGGCAGTCAAATCGAAAGTTACTACGTTTCAATGATTGATTCAAGTAAACGCCAGAAGTGAGTCCAAAGCAAGCAAGCAGGTTTTTCGTGTTGTATCCTGTCAAACTGCTGTGCTGTATTTTTTAACAAGTGCTCCCAATCACAGCCCCACTACCACGAACACTCTTGATGTTTTTAATTGTTCCTCCACAAAATTAATTGTTCAAACTAGAAGAAATGTCGAATCGAAAATTCACGGATAAGGATAACGACGACAATATATGGAATTTCAGGACTCTACAACAATGGGAGCAAGAAGCGGAGGTGAGAGAAATGTTTAAAAATATATGACCATTGGACAAGTATTTCAAGTGTTTGAATGCAAATAGGAGGCTGAACGAACACGAATAAATTCAAGAAAGACAGGCTACGACGATGAGGAAGATTTTAAGCCGGCCAAAAACTTCCAACTCCCAATTCAGGTTATAAGATAGATTAAACTAATTGAAACATGCATAAGAATAAGTAATATTGATTCCAGGGTGGCAAACGTAACTTTGGAGGAAATTCAAAAGCAAATAGGATTGAATTTATGCCACATCGAACCTCCCACACCCTGTCTGGAGCTAAACGGAAGAAAGGTTCTGAGGAGAACAATGACACAGGTTCTAAAAAATCGGCAAACTCCAAAATTAAACCAGACGTAGGAACTTTACTAAAACCTCAGCTTCCTCAGCGCTTGCCAAAAGAAGAAGAATCATCCATATGTATCAGTCAACAAACATTGTCCCCCGACAAGAACGAACCTGATCCTCCAGATCGCTCCCTCAAATGTATGAATTATGGAAGTCATGGGCTCCTGTTTTATCAGGAGGGGGATGAACTTATTGCAAGTACGTGTATAAAAGTGTCACAGATTCGACATACATGACATGCTATGTTTTATGAATTTACAGATCGCAGAATTTTTGTCCAACCACTCCGCGGAAAGGACAAGCAACTAAATGGACATATTCTAATAAATTTTACGAACACAAGTGTTTCATGTGTCAATGCTTCGAATGTCAGAAAATTCGAGTCTAGTGGCGATCTTGACGATGATGAAACTTCATCCGGATGCGGCGTTGGGTAAAAATAATGCATATGAACTATTCCTGCATAAACTACCGTGGATTAATATTATGCAATGTGAGATATACTTATGAAATGTTTTTGTCACTTTAGCTATTTCCTAAGAAATGGGAGCATGGATTATAATAATAAAGAAGCCTACTTCGTTGATATCTACATGACGACGAATGCAGTGGCTGTATATGTTAAAATGGGTCTCAGAGGTATTTCTTGAATTTAAACACCCATAGGTTAATCTCAAAGTAATATAAATCTTTTCATTTAAAAGGAATGTTGGACGCTGTATGCGTCCACTGTCCATATGAGGACTATTTCCTGTGCCTGCCTTTTGCCAAACAAGTCGTGGATATTTTAGGCCAAAACCCCAATCTTGCGAAAATTGTTCCAACTGCTGACTTTGTTCAAACCAAGCAACCGTTCTCAAAGTTCACAGTAGCTTCAATCCCTAACTACGGGTTTTGGAAACGACCCTCCGGTAATTATTAAATTGTAGTATACACATGGAAGGAAATTAGTTTCAAGTGTTACATGCTAATCGTATTACGTAGATTCAAACGAACAGATCACGGTGAACTCTACATCATTCATTTGCATGGAGAATCCAGAGTACCAGGAGCAAAAATGTAGACAATTCTTGCATAAACCATGGGGAGAAAACGGAATAGTATTTTATGAGGAAGGAGATTCCTTTGACGAAAGTAAGATTGAACGAAATAATTCATATGCATTAGTTTAAATTACATCGAAGCATGTTTTTTTATGTGCAGTACACAAGCTGTACTTCACGCCCCTCCGTGGAGAAGATAAAAAGTACAACGGTCATCATTTGATTGCCTTCACAACCTACGAATCTGTATACCGCGGAGCACTCGACCGTAAGTACCAGTCAGTTGGGCACGGTCAGGGTAAAACCAGAGGTTGCGGCATTAGGTAACAATTTCTTAGGACTATTTCCATGTTTATGTATGTCATTATAAGAGTAACACAAGTCCTCATTATGATAATTCTACCTGTTTGTATTTGCGTAGATACTTTCTAAAAAGCGGTAAGATGGACTACTTTGCTGATGACTCGAAGCCTCTAAACGTGTATATGACATCCAACCATGGTGCTGTGACGTTCAAAATGGGCTTAAGAGGTACACTCCCCAGTTGTACATTAATTGTATATAACCAACTAATGCTTATGAATAATTTATAGCCGCTCTAGATGCTGTGTGTATTCACTCACCATGTCGCAAATTTCTCGATATTAAGCCGTACTTCGCACCCATATTGGACGTCTTGCAAAAGATCCCTGAAATTAAAGATATCCTCCCTACTTTGGACCAACTCAACCGCAAAGTACCGTTTTCCCGATTTACAATCGCTTCGATCGCGAACTACAAGTTGTTTACTCGTGGATCGAAAATGACGCCTGGCACACCCTGGAATACCCAATTCGACAAACTCCGTGACGTTGTACTCGATGATTGCAAGATAAGCAACCAATTAATACATATGAATGATTATGAACAACGACAAGTCGTAGAGGAGATTAAGGAAAACAAAAGGACAGAACGAAACCTCCTCGATCAAGAAAACAGTGCCATTATAGAATGGTTGAACACAAACTACATCGCCTCAGAAGATGATTTCGTGTACGCACATGATGTGCATATTCATTACCAGAATTCAACAGGCAATCAAACTACAATTAATAGAATGGCTTTCGGTAGGAAAGTTGGTAAAACCTTTAAAGAGATGCACCTTATGTCCGCAAAGAAGGGAAAAACCAAGTATAAGGGAATTAAAAAAGTAAATGTAGACGAAGTCGAATCTATTGCAATGCTATCGCATTTGGATGGCAAATACGTCCAGCGACAAGATATAAGAAAACGACATGTTCAAGTGTCGAGTAAAATAACTACAAATATTCTGACGCACGATTGGATCTTGCGCAACTTTGCCATGGAGGAAAACCAAGAAGTGTTAAAAAGTGATGTGTACCCGTTGTACATTGAAAATTTCGGACATGATACACGTTTAAACCTCAGTTGCTTTAATATTGAACTTAAAACATGTTTCCCGAATATAGTAATAGTAAGACACCAATACAACGGTCCTGGATCCGCCAAACGGTATTATAAAAATTTGAAGTACGTCGCATCCCAAGTATTATAATTCTAAGTCTGTTATTATAATTCTACGTTTGTTATACAAAAATGCATATGAGTTATTAGTTTGTTTGGTTAAGCTATGAACCATTATGTAGCAATAGTTGTATACATATGAATTATTTGTTTAATTGACCACAGTTTCATTTATAAAGTACAAATGTATCTTTGTTCAATATATGTACCATTCAATAAGTTATAACTTTGACTGCCAGGTAAAGATGCTTATTTTCTTTATTTATATTATCGCAGTTTTACGTATTCAGGTAATAAATCTTGTCAGAATTAATTAGGATGGCAGTGACGAGCTCAATTGTAGATTGCAGATCAAACTCTTATCCACGCACGATGAATCCTTGCATTGAAAATCATAATTCGAACACGTTACTGAAATATGAAACAAAGAATTGTGCCGTATTTTTTGGCCACCAGTCAAAACTAAAATGCACCCTCATTTATATAAAGCTACTTATATGTGCATAATACGAACCAAACCATGTAAAGGAAAGAGACATTTCATTTTTTGTTTGCAGCATTGCGATGGCGAGTATGATTGTGCGGATGGGTCTGATGAAAAGGTGATTTTTTATTTATTAAAAAAATAATGTTCAAGCAAAATTTTTGCCGAAATTGTTTGCTAATAAGTTGTGTGCCAAAATTTTGCAGGGTTGTTCACCCGACAGTATGAACATTACGTCCCGCTGTGGAAAATTAGAGTTCGAATGTGCCGACAAGATTACATGCATACACTCGTCCTGGTACGTCTACCTAAAATTTGCAATTTTCTAGCAATTCAAAATTTCATAAAAAATCACTTTATATTTTTCCTTGCAGGGTTTGCGATGCCGACGTTGATTGTCCGGACGGGGCAGACGAGAAGGATTGTGACCGTCCAAAATGTCGCTCTGACCAATTCGAATGCCGCACGAATGGGGATTGTATCCCGGGCCATCTTCAATGTTCTGGAATGCCAGAGTGTAACGACGGAAGTGATGAAGAGCATTGTGGTAAATTGGCAAATTATTTTACTACCAAAATTTTATAAATTCCAAAATCCGTAAATTTTTCACAAGTTTAAAAGACAAATTGTCAACTTCTACAGATCAAATATAAATTTTGATAGATCTTGTATAAATTTTGCAAAAATATTTTATCAAAATTTCACAGTTTTAGAGTTAATTTTGAACGATTAGCTTGATTTAAAGCTGTTTTTTAAATAAATTTTTCCCAGCCACGTCCACACCGTGTGATCCATTGACCCACTTCTCCTGCCAAACTTCCGGCCTGTGTGTCTCCCTGGATAAGATTTGCGACCAACGGAACGACTGCGGCGATTGGGGTGACGAGCCACGTGACCGATGTGGCGTCAATGAGTGCGCGACTGAAAACGGAGGCTGCGCTGAGATCTGTGTCGACACGCCGATCGGACATTACTGCGAGTGCAAGGCAGGCTTCAAACTGGTCGGAAACTCGACTTGCGAAGGTAAATACTAATTTACCATAATTTTAAAAAATCAAGCTAATCATAAAATGACAATTTCAAATATTTAATAATTTACAACAACAATTTTAAATCGACTGTTCGTAATTTTGTGTAAATTTTTGCAGATATAAACGAGTGCGAAACGCCGGGGACGTGTTCTCAACTTTGTGTGAATGAGAAGGGGACATTCAAGTGTGAATGTGTAGAAGGCTACTTGCGTGACCCGAAGGACCACACGCGCTGTAAGGCAGTTGAAGGTCACGCCTCCCTTTTGTTCGCCCTGAGGAGAGATATCCGCAAAATTTCACTCGACCATCTCAAAGTAAGAAATTCGCAACTTTGCAAAAAATGGTTACGGTTAATCAATTTGAAAATTACGAATGTGTGCCCGAGTTGCGTGTATTTATTTAAAAAAATAAAATAAACAGTTTTGTGTTAAAAACAGTTTCGCAAAATTTTTGCTAAACTTTGCATAACCTTACAAATTATACAAAAAATATAACTACAAATTCTTAACAATTTAAATTGCAACAATCCATGCAAAAATATTTGTTGATTATGTTTTATGTCATATTGCAAAAAATAATTCGCAAATTATTTGTCAACTTTTTTCAGATGACTTTAATTGTGGAGAAGACTCGCAGCGCCACAGCACTTGATTACATGTTCCGAACGGGAATGATCTTCTGGACGGACACGCACGAAGGCAAGATTTACAAGTGAGTCGAATTTAAATAAATAAATTTCCAGATCCAAATTAATATTACATTATAATTAATAATTCAAGTGTGGGCCCAAACTAATCCTCAGTTTAGGCCAACCCTTTATTTGAGGAAATTAAAATCCGGGCATAAATTAAATTGGTTAAATTACAAACATTTTTAGAATCTCATCATTTCGCTTTTCATCATCTGATGTATAATAAATAATTTACATATTTCACAATTTTATTTCTCGACTTGCAACACACCAAACTTTGGAACTTGAGAATTTCATAATTTTGAAGAGTTAAATACTGTTTTTTATAAATTGAAGAACTTCGCAAGAAGGATGATGCAGAACAATTTTATTCAAATTAAATTATCACAGGAGTATGTACTGAAAATGGGCATCGTATAATCCGACCGATTTTTCAAAAGCGTCACTTACTTATTTTTTTTGCGCATTTCGTTAAAAATGTTTCTTTTTATGTAATTTAAGGGCGCCGATCGACGAGGGTAGCGCCAAATCGGTGGTGGTCGAGGAAGGACTTAGCAACGCGGACGGTCTGGCGATTGACTGGGTGTACAACCACATCTACTGGACGGACTCGGGCAAGAAGGACATCGCCGTGGCCGAATTGGACGGAAAAATGAGAAGGACGCTTATCAAGGACGGCCTCGTGGAACCCAGAGCCATCGCGGTCAATCCTGTTGACGGGTAAGGTCAAAAATTCAAGATTGTACGATTTTTTTTAATTTGAGGGATCGATTAATTTTGATCGATTGATTGATAAACTGCTTAATTTTTGGGGGGCTTTTAAACCGGAAGTGGAATCGTTAGTGAATTTATAGTACAAAAATTTTAAAAATTTATTGATTTTGAAATTTACACCGGAACCTAAATTTAAAAAATAGTTTGATATTTAAAGTTAATCAGCTAACTTTCATAATTATAATTACATAAATGCGCATTTAATTTCAATTAATTAATTATGATTAATTTTACATTTTTGTCACGTTTGTCTAGCTGGATGTACTGGACGGACTGGGGAGTGACGCCGGGTCGTATTGAGCGAGCCGGTATGGACGGGTCTCGGCGGGAGATAATCGTGTCGACCGGACTCAAGTGGCCGAACGGGCTGACCCTTGACCTCGTCCAAGAGCGCGTCTACTGGGTCGACGCCAAGATGAACTCGATCTCATCCGTCAACTACGACGGTTCCGATCGCAGACTGGTCCTTCAATCTCATTCAGCGTTGGCGCATCCCTTCTCAATTACGACTTTCGAGGACTGGGTGAGCTACATAAAAAATGACGATGGAAAGTTAACAAATTTGAGAAGGGGGTTAAATTATGATTGGATTTTTCAGGTGTACTGGACCGACTGGGCGAACGAAACGATCTTCAAGGCGAACAAATTCACGGGAAAGGAACTCTCAGCCATCATCCCGCCAAACACGGTCAGTTTTATTTACCAAATTAATCTTAAATTGAGAACGGTGCATTTTCCTGGATGAATTGTGTCGTACAATTGAATATTTGAATAGTCCTTACAAAATGAGACACCAGACTCTGGGGGGACAATGTCCCCCTGTCCGACTGCTCAATTGCCGTACATGCATTCCAATTTCTGCAAAGTATGACTCCCGACTCAAATTTTGGTTTCTGACATCCGAAGTAAATATGACTTTAAGCAAATTTATACGAGTAATATAACCTCCAGGACGAAATTATGGGCATGTTTTTTAGAGAGCATTTTAAGTATGTCCAGTCCCATTCTGCACAGATAAAGAAGAATTGCCCATTTTTAGCAGACTCAGCCAAGAAACCAAATGGCACTCCGATTTGGAAATGTGTCATAAAAATAGTGAAAGTAGGATTCGGGATGATTTTCTTCTGTCTCTGAATGATCTTGTTTTTGGTCCAAAGTGTTCCAACGGTTACAAGAAGTAATCCTAAGTGAAAAGATGGGCAGGGTGTCGAGCTGGGTTTTATTTTCTGTGACCATTGAGGATTAGTGGAGTATTTTTGCAAATATTTTTGCAGATTGGCAAATTTATCTGAAAATTGCTTGAGTTTTGCGCCGAATTGAAAATCTGCAAATTTTCAATAAAAATTACGACAACGGAGATCGATGGCCTCCCTTGTTTTAGCTACAAAATAAAAAAATTAGTGTTACACATTTTGTTCATTTACATAATACTGTGCAAATTTCTACACTGCGAAAAACTAGTTTGATTGTAAAACCAAGATATTCTTCGGATTTTTCGGAGTAAACAATGGACAAGGTTTGGTCTTGGGCCCTCTTAAAGTTTCCAAAGTTGGAGTGAATTGAAATTATAATTGCTTGGATTGCTCGTATCATCTCCTTTGGAACCCTGTCGGGTCTCCATAAATGGAAAAATATCTTGGGAATTGAACACTCGCAGGAAAATGGATCATTTCCGCTCTGACCAAGCGTCATGAATCATCGGAACCGCACATTAGCCTTGATTTATCTCTGCCAATAAATGGAACCCGATATTATTTTATGGATTGATTGAAATTTGGAAAAATGTGTAAACTTTGCAAATTTATTAGCTTGTAAAATGAATATTAGCAAGAACTAAGCTGCTTGCAAGGAGAGAATCATTTTTAACACGATAGTAACAAGTTTAATTCTTTTAAATTCAAATTACTTACTTCTTACAAATCAACTTCTTCGCAAAAAATAGGTATGCAAATTATTAGCAAAATACTTTTTTTGCAATTTACAGGTAAAGCACGTAATGTCCGTTCACGTGTATCACGCTTACCGTCAACCGGACGGTGAAAATCATTGCACGCCGTTGAACGGGCGGTGCTCACACCTCTGCCTCCCCGCCCCCAAGGTCAACGAGCGGTCACCCCTTATCTCCTGCGGATGTCCGGATGGCCTCGTCCTCACCAACGATGGACAAAACTGCGCCCCGGATCCGGGTAAGGCCGAAATTCGAGCTATTATTTCTTACTTCCGGTATAACTCTAAGCATGTTTTGGGATATATGCCAATTTGGGGGAAACAAATAATCAGCTGAAATTTGGGAAAAAGTCACATTGTAATTTGGGGAATAACTTGCACGAATTTTGGGAATACAAATTTAGTCGATTTTCAAGAAAATTCAAAAATTTCGCCAATCTTTTTTGAGCAAAACTTTTTTAAATTCACTAAAATCTGCGTAAAAATAATGATTTAAGTAATTTTTGCTTTGGGAAATTAGCATGTTTGAAAAAATATCCAACAGAACTGAAAAACGGTTGAAATTTCGTGAAAATTATGAAAATTGATACAAAAATCTAAAAATTATTTCATTGTGGAAGAAAATTATTATTTGAGATTGACTCAAAAGTTTTTTAAATCAACAAAAGTTATGAAATTTTGGTACATAAATTAATTGCACGTTAAACTCATACCTTGAAATGCTTCCGGTTTGCATTACCCTTTAGCTTTCAACCTTCATCATTTGCTGCACCGAATGCAAGATGCACTTCCGGACGATTCCATGATGAAGGCTGAACTGAACAGGACATTGTTTCCAGTTATCGGAGGAGGGAAACGGATCTCTAAACCGGGAAGTAATCGGGGCCAGAATAATGTTCAACGAGGGACGGAATCAGGTATTGTTTCGGGGCATGTTATCTCATCGGGTGCTTATCTTGGGGTTTATCATAGTTAAAAATAATAATCAATGGAAATTTACTTACTAAAATTTTAATACTGCGTTTCATTCCATTTGTCACATTTTTCACATGAGACCAAGGTTTTTTGTAACCTACTAAACTTCTCTTTCTAATAAGTTTGTACGTATTGCGAATTAAAATCAGCGAACAAATTTATGTATTTGAAACTTACCGTCTCCATAAACTTGGTAAAAATATTTTTGTTAAATTGTGCAGTTTATTGGGTTACAAACATTCGTTTGAATCACTTTAACGTCAAAAAATCGGTAGTAGATGTAGGTATGTATTACCCACTATTAACAAGGTGACTGGTGACAACTTGAATTTTATGAGCAGCAAGAAATTTCATGCAATAACCATAATTTTACTGTCTGCAAAATAAGTCCATGCAAATTTTAATGTCCTTCTTTACCTTTGTGGGACAGGAATGGACCAAGGCGACCAATATTCTCACGTCTCTTCGTCCTCTGAACCGGACACAAACACGATTGCCGGTATTGTGATTGGAATTCTGTCCGCGCTGCTCGTTCTCGTCATTCTTGTGAGTTTTTTTGGGAAACCTTATCAAAAATGGGGAACATTTCTACAAAATTTCCTAAAATTACTCCAGGTCGTGCTCGTCCTCTACCGCCACTTTTTCGTGAAGGGGTCCGACACGATGAACTTTGACAACCCGGTGTACCGCAAGACGACGACGGAGGATCGAATCTCAATCGAAAAGAATCGCTACAACAAGTCCTTGAACAATGGCGGAGGTCACGGCGGCTTCAACAATTCGACCTCTTCCTCCATCACCATTTCCGACGAGGTAAACAACTCATCCAGCGCGGGCAACGCGCCCAACGGCGGTCAAAGTTACCCACTCGCGTCCTCAATCATCTTTCACGGCACGTTGGCCAAGCTGGCAAAATCACATAGCAATCCGCGCCCATACTCTCTCAATTAAAGAGTTTGAATTAGTTGCGAATGAATACATAATTTGCCGGGGAGTTTGAATTTATGGTTGGGAAAAATCTTAAAATGGGGGATGTATGTATGTAGATTTGAAGAAAAGCTATTTTATTATCGGGTTGTGTAGAAAAATGAAATGGAGAAACTTGGTGCAAGTTAGGAACACGTGAGTTTTTAGGGTTTCGAAAAAATTATTTATTTAGATTATGAAAAGCAGGAGGTGGGTGGATTTTTTATGTCGTTAATTCATTTTGTGAAAATATGTATGTAATCAATTCGAATCAAAATCCTGCCATTGAATCAAATTTAAAATCCAATCAATTTATTGGTCATATTTACATATGTATGTAAGTTATTAAGTGAATATTTGGGAATGTATGATAGATTTTAGGAAATCTTAAAATTTGTACAGATGATGGATATTCATTTCATGAGATTTTAAGGGTGGGGTAAAAATCAACCGGAAATTGATAAGGAATGATGAAATTTCATTTAAATGGACTGTACATAAATCATGTGATCAAATTTCGAGGAATTTTGATCCCTGCCAAAATTTTGCGATTAACATTACAAGATTGTTTGACAGGGACCCCTCTGAAATTGAACACTTGTTTTATGCAGGGTCCCCAAGATAAGTACATAAATTAGGTGATTGATTAAGATGCCAAACTAAATTAAGGTAGTACATACATAACACTTAAGAAATCTGAGGATCCACATGAGATTATTGACTAATTAAGGAGAGAGATGTAAATTTTAGATGAACTTAGTTAGACGTGGGTCAAGATTTGCAAGCAATCGTGCAAATTATTGTTAGGTAGGAAATTTTGCGAAAAAATAACATTGTATTTTAACACGAGCTACACATCGTCATCAAAAATTTCGCTGTGGATGGTAAGTGACATTAAAAGCGTGGTCTTGTTGTTGTTTCGCATAGAATTTTTGTGTCGGCTGTTAGATCATAATTTTCATAAAAAATTGATATATTTTCATGTATAATTTCAGCTTGAATTTTTGCAAAAATTTATTTTTTTAATCATTTTTTTCTGAAATATCAAATTTTGATTTTTCTTTTAAAATTTATAGGCTGAAGAACCTCTGACACGGCGGGAATCTCAACCAATCGCGATTCAACAGTCGTCATCCAGTCAAAGTCGTCTTGGTCATCGAGGTCAATGTCAAGTTCAACCAATGCTTAGTCAACAAGAAGAGGCGTCCGAATATGTATAAATTTCCTAAAACTGTGAATATTTTGGAGTACATGAGTCGAGAATGATTTTGATTTTGGATTTCTTGCCGTCTTTTTTTCTTTAATTACAAAAATGATGAGTCACAAAATACAGATAAAATTGTCTGAGGAAATTATGAACAGCCAAAAACCTTGACTTACGACTACATAAATTGTTATTCTTCTTATTACACTTTGAACTTAAATAACCGTGCTAAATAAAAATAGTGCTTAATTAATTGTAGAAAATGTATGTAATTTAATAAAATTTCCTAAATATCATATACAAATTTACTCGAAATATGTAAAATTGAAATTGTGCACAGAGATGTAACATAATAAGATTATGTAGAGATGTGTGTATGTAAAATTTTGGGGAAACAAATTTTTCGTGAAAATATTGTGAAAATTGGTTAAATTTAATTGTAATTTATTAATTCCTGTAAACGTACAATTTGTAAATTAAAATATAATTTAAGAGCAAGGCTGATTTATTATTTAAAAAATTGATATCAATTTGCTTCAAATATGATTATTTTGTTATTCAAATATTTATCATGGTTAATTCAAAATTTTGCAAAAATAAACAATTTTGCAATTCCTTGTGCCAAAAATTATTTCGGAACTGATTCTCAATAATTTTAAACAACTTCCTTCTTTTTACAAGGATAAACTCTTCAAATTTAAATGACTGTTAATATTTGATATTTTTTCAAAAATGGTTTTAGTTCCTAATTTTTTCAAATGCTTATAATTTAAAAAATATGTATGTGCTATTTATGAAGTAACAATTAATTTCTATCGAAAATGGACGACAGTTCTATCAGTGATATAAATATTTGATATTAAATTAATTATCGAAGAATAATTATGAATTAATTTTCGAAATACTTAAAAATTTGTGTTTTGTTTTGTGATCAATTGTAAGTTGGGATCTTTCAAACGATGTGAATTTTGTAAGGTTGCCAAGTTTGCAAAAAATCTTAGGAGGCAGCTTCATCTCTGAAACATGCGTTTCGCAAGTTTGTAAAGTAATCTTACAAAGTTTACGCAGTTTGCAAGGTTACAAAGGTGTGGTGGATAAAGGCAAAAATGTTTGTCTTGTACAGAAAAATTGTGTTGTATTTAATTAATCATATTATGATTCGGTAGTGTTTAAAGGGAGAAAGTTGAGAGATCAAATACAATTGGGATTATTTAAGCGAGGTTAAATAAAAATGCGAGTCATTATAATTGTAATTATTAATATTAGTATGAAGAGGTGGTGATTTGTATAATTATTATGTGTATAATGAAATAAAATACAATTATCAGTGTCTAAATAAATGTTTTATCAAAAACAAGATGCTTTCTGTCACGATTGGTTTCTTAATTACTGGATTATATTTTACGTCATTATTGAAATGAAGAAATAGTTATTACGCCAAATAATTCACAGCTTGTCATTCGAGAGAACTCAAACCAAGTTCATCAAATGTATGGGCCTTCATTGAGTTTGTTAATAAATATTTAAATCAGTTGAAAATTTTGAAAGAATAATCATTGAGTACTGCAAAGATATGAAAGTAATACACGCACATTTACTACAGATGCAGTACTTATTATGCATTTGCTGGTAACAAAAAATAGTAATTGATCTTTGCCAGTTATAAAAAGTTTATTCAGGAAAATTAATCCAATTAGACCAATTCAATTGGAAATGCCAATGAACAACGCCCAATAACACTTGTTTGCAAATTTTTCAAGTATAAATATTATATAGATGTCTTGATCGTCTTGAGCGAAATTCACTCATTAAAGACTTCATTTCACAGTAAATTTCACATTTAGAATTAATAATTTATAATTAATTTATAATTTCATATTTTCACATTTCAAAACCAATCTGAAACAAGGTGAAAATTAGGATTATGTGACGAATATTGAAAATCTTTGTCTTGTAAGTTGTATTTGTTGCAACTTCCAGTAAAATTGTGCTGTGATTAAAAATCCTTAATGACCCCAAGCTGATCATACCAGAGGTCGACGACGTCAAGGCCGATTCCAAACGTTTAAATACATTTGTGAGTATTTTTTTTATTAAAACATGACCGTCGTAGAGACGGTCAATGCTGTCGATTTTGCTCGAATGTATTTATCACATATCGGGGGACAACTGGCTACCGGAAAATGCAATTAATTAAAACATTAGCTAAACATTTTGAATTTTATTCACCAATACTGACGTAAAGTCAAGGTGTGAGCGGCTTTTAACTGGACGGCGATCCAATATATGTGTACGTGTGTACATACGAATTGATACCCGAATTTATTAGATAACGCGTACATTCACATCTTATCATGTCACATTTATGTAAACAAATTGTTTTGAGATTAGTTTATTAGTTTAAGGTAAACATAAATTTGTCCGCTGCATATTAAACCATACTCCAAGAATAGTTGGTTTTCTGGAAATACAATTAAAAAAATACGTTCACTTTATAAAATGCGGTTTAATCCCTCCTTAGTGACTTTTAGCTATTTAGTGTGCATCATCCTGGCAATAAAAGCGTCATCCGAGGATGATTTGGCTTCTGACGAAATTGTGAAATCTAAAGGAGATGAGAAAGGTGGCCTACTTTCGCTGGACGAGCGTGTGACGAAACCAACCATTATCGGAGAAGATAACTCCATAGTAGAGTTGGAAACGGAAATTGATTACTTTTCAGTTTTGGCGAAATTCAAGAATTTTAAAGGTATTTGACAAGCATTTATTTATGTTAAACTCTTGAATTAATTCAGTCGAGGACTTTATAAATTATGAACAATTTTATGAAAAATTTTTTACAATTTGAATAGCACTAAATTGGAAAATATAAATCATCTAATTAATTATAATAAATTGTCATAATTACATTTTCGCAGGTGAAGTTCTCGAAAAAAATGTCTGCCTCCTGACCACAGACGCCTTAAAATTTCTCCTGAAAGGAAAATGGATCGCTCTGGCGGTAAAATGTGAACCAATTTGCACATTTTCACCTGAGGAAGTCGCCCATTTAAGACAATCTGAATTAACTGATGTCAATCTTAAATCTGCCGTTTGGAATTGCATCCGCGATAATTATTTAAAAGATTACGAAGCCTTCAAAAAGTTGCATGAATATTTGGTCTATATGCAGGCGAAAATTGATAAGAGTGAAAGTAGTAAGGATAAGAGTAAGGATCCTGATACAGAACGTGATGAGAGTGAAACAAATAGTAAGAATAATGATGGAATTGAACGTGATGAACTGTAATCAATATAATTTGGTAATAAAATTGTCACCGAAGTATTAAGGATCTAAATGATAATTCATTAAAAATCTTCAAAAAATGTATCGAATTGGGTATTCCAAATGTTTTCAGTGAAAAATTTATTTTTGCTTAATTAATACTTTGATTACATTATATACTGCATTTTGGCCACTCATTTTACGCATCCGTCATTCACACCTTGTTTATACAAAATATAACAATATTTAATAAAATTTCCAGAATGACACCAATCCGACACAGTGTTCAAAATCACATTTACTGCCCATTGGATATTATACACAATTTACTTAGGCAAGTTGTACAATACCCTTGGAATTTATTAAAACTTTGGTCTTCGTGGGGCATTAGTTTAATGCTGAGATATATATGCATACAAGTTGTATGATACAAATAAAGATGACGTTTACAATTGATGAGGCAATTCATTCATTCGTAAAAAACTTGTGAAATCCATAATTTTGCAAAAATAAGTTTACAACCTTTTTGCAAAATACAATCTGAGTTTACAAAAATTTGTAAATCAATTTTCCTTAGATTTTGCAAGTTTACAATTTACAGATTTTACAATGTTGAATGTTACTGCGTGAATTACCCTAAGTTTACAAAAATAATGAATTTGTAAGACTTATGACAGTCATATTGAACATGTAAAGTTGACACGTAAAAATAATTAACTAAATTTGGATTTAGATTCATTTCAAAATTTCCTCTAAAAAATTAAATTTAAATTAAAACGATTAAAATTAAAATTTTATTTCTTCAAACTTACGCATTTTCATATGGACCGTTACCCTGGAGGGAGGACAAAGCGACTAAACCCTGCCCAGCTTCCGGAGAGGCGCTTCGCACCAAAGAAATCTCTGCCCCAAAACTAAAATCCGTTGGAGATTTGGAATCTCGGAAACATTGGGAACTTTTTCGGTGTGATTTTCTACATTTTTTGAATCCGAAAACACTCAAAAAATGGGGAAATTACTCTCAAAAATATTTGGCAATCGGGAAATGCGGATTTTAATGTTGGGATTGGACGCTGCGGGGAAGACAAGTGAGTAAACATACTGATTAATTAATCAATTAATTTAAATGTTTTTTAATTCCAGCAATTTTATACAAATTAAAACTCGGCCAATCAGTAACAACAATTCCCACGGTGGGGTTCAATGTGGAAACGGTGACATATAAAAAGGTCAAATTCAACGTTTGGGTGAGGATAATTAACTTTTGGTGAATTTTTGTTGTGAGCAAATAATTAACGCCCATTTTATGATAGGACGTCGGCGGCCAGGATAAGATCCGCCCCCTCTGGCGTCACTACTATACAGGGACGCATGGTCTGATTTTCGTAGTTGATTGCGCCGACCGCGACCGAATTGACGAGGCGAGGATGGAGCTACACAGGATTATCAACGATAGAGAGATGAGAGATGCGATCATTCTTATCTTTGCCAACAAACAGGACCTTCCTGATGGTGAGTAGTTAGTTGAGTGGGACTAAATTTAACAAGTTTGGATGAAAATCGGATGAAAAACAGTAGAAAAAAGTGCAATTAAATATGAGTTAACTAGGTTAATTGTGATTTGTGAATCACAAATTGAAATACATTAAGATGGACAAGCCTACTCTAAAATTAGTTTCAACTTGAAACTTTCAAGTGAATTGAAAATGGGAGATTGTGCAAATATAGGGATGCGATGGAAAAGGTTGAATGATTGGATTTTGCTCTCCAAAGTTTTAGTTTTAAAAGATAATTATGGTCTTAAAATGTGATCCTTGTGATGGGGAATGATTAAGTACTACGTAGTTTTAACATGAAATGTGGGAAGTGAAATATGACCCATCTGTATAAATTATTACGTAAATTTTGAAACTTTGTGTTCTCTTTGCAGCCATGAAACCACACGAGATTCAAGAAAAATTGGGTCTAACGCGGATAAGTGATAGGTTTGTACTAAAATATATACATTCTTCGTCCCCCAGTTCTGGAGGTCACCAAGGGATGAGATTCGTAAAACTAGTGTAGCCTAACGTTCATATTTTATCAGGATCGTGATTTTTTATACCACAATTTTGTAAAAAGAAGTTAGTTTAGTGTTTTATCATTTCTTGGAAGTGCAATCTCTTGGTTTGTTCAGATTTTTATGAGAGTATGTATTTATATTCAAGGAATTTGTATATTCTTATCAAATTTTATAAAAAATTTCATACTTTTGTCCAATTTTGCTATAAAATTTCTCCTTTGTTAACACATTTTTGTAAATATTTCTCGTTATCACTGATTTGAGTATCACTTCCTCCTCTCGGCCTGACTACAATACTGCGTCGGACATATCTATAACATTTTATTTTTTGTCGCAGGAGTTGGTACGTGCAGCCGGCATGCGCGAGTACAGGGGACGGTTTGTACGAAGGGCTCACCTGGTTGACGATGAATCACAAGGCGTCCGTGGGCAACAAGTCTTTGTGAAGTCGTTTCCTCTTCATCCTCCATGTCAACATTACAACAATAATTCCACTAATTAGTTAATTACTGGCATAATTAAAATGCACTTTGAAACCCCATCGACCGCCGACTATCAATCAACATACTCTCCTCGACCAGACCTTTTCCAAAATTCCATATATTTCTGTACCAAGAAGAAGATAAGCCAAGCCAAGCCACACGATACGTTTCAATCCAATGAAAAATTTCTAGTAAGAATTATTAGTTAATTAAAATGGTGCCGGATGTTAATTGTACTCGTGAATGTAATTATTGGAATGTAATTAGTTTTTAAAATTCAAGTCCAAAAATTCTGTAAACTTGTGAAGGCAACTAAATTATTATATGTGTCAGATTTGATGATTATGAGAATTTAAATTATAAAATTCTAGTGAAATTGACCAAATTCGAAATCTAATTTGTTTTAAATGTAAATGTGTGCATAAATTAATGTGTTCAAAATAAGTAATTCTGTTTTACTAAATTTGGTGTGTAGTAAATTGAGGCAATTAACGCGGATGAGGGTAACCCAGTAAATTCTGTAAATTTATAAATGTTCGCAAAAGTTTACAGCAAAATCAGGTCTAAAATCGATTGTTAGCTTATAAAGACCATGACCGTGTTATATACAAGATTATAACGTAATTTTACAAAAAGTAAACAATTTACAGGGCTACGAACATCCGAGTGTATTGTTAATTTAGAAAAAAATTATCCTATTGATTTGAAGAAAAAAGTCTACTTTTGTATTTCCAAGTTAATTAATTAATCTATGTAGTTAAGTTATTATTATTGTAATTATTATTAGTCAAGTTAATTATTGTTATCGAGTTAATTATTTATGCGAAATTTATAATTAATTTGCGAAATTTTGTAAATTTCTTTATAATTTAAGTAATTTTGGTTGAGACGCTCACAGCCAATTTGGCGATATTTTTAGAATAGGATTTCATCCGCGAATTTAAGTAAGTCACTTTTTTGCAGCGTATGTTTTTCGAATTTTTTGTGTTTTTTTGGACGGCCTCAGCTTTTTACTGGTATTATTTTCATATCATAATTTAAAGTCTACTCATCACATTTATTTATTTAATGGATTTAATTTATATGCACGACATTGATCGCGTTTAGGTGATTAATTAAGTATCGATGTCGTCTTTCAAGTTAAATAGCTGCTTAAATATTATTCAATGTAAAATTAAAGATAATTGTGTACATTTAAATTATTGTTGTTGTACCGTATTAAAAATTGAGACCTTGTAAAAGTCAGTCGTTTAAATTTAACTTTTTAGTTGGAGTGGGACGAAGGAAGGAGGCGAGATTTTACATTTTATGCGATTGGTATGATGATAAGGTGATGAAAGATAAGCTAATAAAATTGATGTATACGTATAAGTAAAATTGTGCACAACATTTCTTTATCACATTTGGTATTTAAAACATGCCAATTATTTCTGCAAAACGTTCTGCAGAAATTCGCAAATTATGCTTGATGCAAGTAAAATATGCTATTATTGAGCATGAATGTAATTTAGGTTACGAGTTAAAATTTTATTTATTGAGAAATTGGCAACATTTATTTAACTTGAAGATTATAAATTAAGTCTTATTATGTAATAATACTTATCAGCTCCTCGTCACATCGACGTTATCATAACTATTCGTAAGATAAGTAGTAGAAGAGGAAGGAGTTGCCTTCGTCGTGGTTATCTTACTCCTCACAAACTTCGCCATTCTTCTTTTCATTCGTTCCGCAGAATAGCTTAAATTCTTAGAAGGGACAATTTTCCTAGAGTAATTGATAGTAGTTCTGTCGGGGAGCGTCGAGGTCACCGCGGGCATCGGGGTAGTGACCGCGGTGGACAGAATATTTGGAACGGGGTCCATGTCCATAACCATCATGAATTGGTTATTGTTCCCACTTTTCGCGGTCATGTTGTCCGAGATGTCCTCAAGGGTGACCATATCCTGCCCCATCGGGGTCACATCTTCGCCACTCCTGCTGCTAAATTGGTTATTTACTTCCGGTTCGTCACCAATTTGATTTTCTGTCACGGGCGGCGGAATAAAATTCCTGAGACGTCCGAGCACCGCTGAGATGACGGATTTCGTTTCAATTTCAGGCATCGGCGTGGTCGTAGTGACGTTTTGCAGCCGCTTCCTTCTCACTCGAACCCTTCTTGCCTTAATTACGACGACATTCGTGGGCAGCGGGGCCACACTCGTGGACGACCAGTTTGCCGGCGACGGGGTACTCTTCGTGCCGAGGAGACGCTCCTCCTCATCTTGAAAACCGAGATGCCCGCGTGGATTGACCGTTACGTTGGGCGGGTAGAGCTTCTTCCTCTTCCGAAGGATTATCGAGGAGGAGCTGTTTTTCGGGGAGGTGAGAATCGACTCCTGGGTCGTTTGGGACACTTCTGGGTCAGGTGGCGACAAGAAATTTTCCGGGGGCGCCGGAAAGTCGAGCGCTTTTCCGCCACGGGGGGATGAAGATGGCGATGGATATGGCGTCGTGGGATCGTATACTTCATTATAAAGGCGAGGCGTTGTAAATACGTCGTCTTCGTCGACATGGGTGGCGGGGAGTTCGATGATATTGTCGTCAGAATAAGTCGGTGTAGGGGATGAAAGTACTAGCTGACCTTGATCTTGACCTTGGAGATTAATTGACTGCAAGGATTCCAATCCTTTAGTTCGGAGGAGGTCGAAACTGTCGTAATTCGTGGGAGATGGAGAGGTCACGGCATAATTGAAGGTTGGCGACCCATCCGGCAAACCCGGTGGGGTCAAGTGGGCCAAACTATCGTCTATAATGATTGCATCGGTGACCTTGTTTGGTGTTGTAGAGGCTAAAGGTGATGGTTGGGGTGGACCGTAAGTTGGAAGTGGGGGTGGCCCATAGCTGCTGGGAAGTGGGGGTGGCCCATAGACAGCTGACCCCCCACTGACGTCATAATTTACCCCGAGGGTAGTGTCACCCCATTCTTTTAAAATTAGTGCGGACGCCTTCTCAGCAATCATTATGGTGGCCGCTTGAGTATTCGCGCCAACAATGGTGGGCATAACGGAGGCGTCCACGACGCGGAGGGAGTTGACCCCCATGACCTTTAAGGAAGGGTCGACAACGCCGTATGGGGATGATCTGTAACCCATTTGTGCCGTGCCGGTGTGGTCGTTCATGGAAATGGATAAGTGGCGAAGGTAACACTCCCAGTAGGCGTCACTCCTGGAAAAAGGGTACAAATTAAGGTCGGAAGTTGGTACGTGAAAAATATGCGGGTCATGCATCTAGATATCCCAAAATTGCTATTACTTAGGAGTTTATGTATTAATTTAGGTCATTTATGACACGCTCAAAATAACAGAAATTAATTTTCATGCCCAGAGCATTCTACATGTGCACGTGAGATATTAAATTATACGTTACATAATAATTCTTAAATATTTCCAATTTGTTTTCAAACTTTGTAAAAAAAACTTAAATTATCGAAATTATACACGATTGTTATTAATACTGCGTATTAATAAAAATATTTATACTAATATTAATAAAAATATAATTTATATTCTGCATAAGCAAAACTCCAAAACCCAAATTTATGAGAAACTGCACGAGCTGAACTAGTCTTAGGTCACATTTTTACTATGAAATTCAGTATTTCTTGAATTAATAACAAAATTGTCAACATTTTCTTCATGATTATGAAAAATCTAGGCGTAATTAAAATTTTGGAAATTTTGTTTATCTATAAGCAAAAAGACGTAGGTAAGACCAGATTTCAAAATGGTTTGTTTTTGTAGGAAATAACCGTTTGAAATTACCTAACTTAAGATTTATATATTTTATCCACGAAATTATAAAAAATTAATGTACGAAATTTCTTAAAATGTTAGCTCATTGTCAGTTTGGTCGTTTCATTAATCAGAAACGTATTTATTTGAGGATTAGTTGACAGTAAATTACTGACAGTAATTAATTACCTGTAAATGTGCCCCTCACAGCCAGGAAAGCACTTTTCGGCTAGTCTGACGCCACAGTTTTGGAAAACGGTCGTGTTTTCAGCGAGGTGAAGAGCGCGGTGGATTCCTTCAATCATCACGGCGACATCTTTTCCAACCGGGTCGGAAAAATAGGCAGGTTTTATGATTAGGGGTTTGTACGGCGAGGCGGATTGGAGGCTGACCTCGCCGCGAGATTCTGGCCGCGCAACGGTAACGATGATAAAAAAGGCAGATTTTCCACGCGCGTGGAGAAAGAAACGTTGCAGGATGTCCTCCTGGAAATAATTATTTGGGATATTGTACAAAATTTAAAAATAATCGAATTGCATAAAAAAATTACATAATTTAAATAAAAATTTACTTGTAATTTTGTTCGCGTAAAAGTGAATGTTAAATTAAAATCGTTAATTTACATAAAATGATAGGTTGAGAGAGTTTGTGCGTAACATATTTTCGCGAAAATTTTGCAAACTGTTGAGCTGAGAAATTTGCCCTAAATTTCAATCCTGAATCCTCCTCAAACAAAGAATATATTGAGCAGATTGTGTCTATAAGTTGTAAACATGCAAAAATTGCAAGGTTCCAATCGTTAAAGAAATATTTTGTTATGTTCTAAAAATTTTTCAAAGTCTCAAAAAATAAATTCATGCTATAAACTCAGATTTTTATCCAGATATCTATCCTGCTGGCTTCCAACAAAGGATGAGCAGTACATGTCCGCATGTGCGTGGATAAGTTTCTGGAAACAAGAAATTTCTCGAAGCTACTTTTGCAATTTGTCCACATTTCTCAATTTAATTGATCCACCGAGTTTACCATATTTTTGGATAAACGACTTGTATTTTCTAATGTACGATAAGTACCATGTATTAACACCATATTTCAATTTAATATACAAAATTATCATCTTAAAATATATTTTATTTATTGACTCAATTAATTCAATCTTATTGATTTCGTAACATAGTCGATGATCAAGTTAATACATTATATCTACCCAAGATAAGTTGCAAACAAAAGTATCATCGTATATGTGCAGTCTATGAAGCTCTAAAACGCCTCCGTAACGATTTGTCACCCAACGGTGACAATATTCCTGCGATGTTTAAGCTGTCAGTCTGTCACCCTCCAAAAGAAATTCCTCCAATCAAACTTACCGAAATAAATGTCACCGTTGGGTCAGGAAAATTACCAACCTGAGCATAACTGCATACATATGGTTACAAATTGTAACGTTTGCTTAGCGTTTGTAACGTAATAATATTGTAACTTACAATATTATTACGGACAAATTTTTGGTACAGTTTGAACACATGAATATATTCCCAGTCAAAATATTATTAGCCCCACGTCAACAACAGCGTGGTCAACCATGAACACAACGTTTCCAGGAAATCAGTCGCTGACTGCTTCGAAACCGGGAAAAATGACCCAATTCTGAATCGAATTGGTCGAATCGATTTCAAAATGACTTTGAGCTCTTGTTTCTTCCTTTTTGGCACCAGGTGGAGGTGGCAGAGCTCTTTTTGCATTAATTCGCTCTTGTCACAGATACTGCTCGCTTTGCAGAGCTGCAACGAAGTCACACTGATGCAGAGAGTTTCTCCAATCGAGAACAGAATCGAAATGAAGATGCCCATTTCACCGAAAAATTTGATAACCGTGAACAACCCGACGGACGAGAGGATTGTGGCGACTGCGAGGAAAAGCGGCAAAACGAGCGACTCCATGATCAGTTTGTAGTTGACGAAGGCAATTTGGATCTCGTTGCAGCATCCTTGAAGATATCGGAGTTCTTGGATGCGCTGCTGGGAAAGGCAGATGTGGCTGATGGCGTGGACGCGGAGGCTGAAACGGTGAGGAATTTTAGGATTATTTAGATGGGAGAGTATTTACATATTTCGGGGAGAAAGTGCGGTGCAAGTCAGGTTTGTGATGTGGCAAATAATGTGTTACCAGGATTGAAAAATTTAAAATCAGTTTGTAACCAGTTTGGTAACAGTTTGTTCAATTGAAGGATAAAAACCTGGTTCACACTCTGACTGTGACTGGTAGAAAAGTTACCGAAAGTTACTAAAAGCTACCAAAATCTACCAAAAGTTACCAAAATCTATCAAAAGTTACCAAAATCTACCAAAATCTACCGCCCGGTCACTCCCGGTAAAATTATTACCAAATTTCATGTACATGCAACTTTGCATACATACATTTGTTAAATAAATACTTACGTCATATGTTTCGACAATTGTTCCACGACCGCGGCACAGTCGACAATAAGGAACACGTAGAAGCCAACAATTACCGTGAATGCTTGTAAACAGTAGTAGTCAATGAGGAGAAAGAAGGTGCAGATTTTCCAGTCTGTCGCCCCGAAGTGTCGATATAGCCGAAGGTTTGGGGGGATTGAGAGGACGAGGAGGACGTGAAGAATTATTATGTACAGGGACCACAAAAGATCCAGGACACAGATGCATTGGATTTGGAAAATCTCACCTGCGCCCAAGTAGTGCAAAAAATATGTAAATTATGTACTGAATTATAGATTATTTGCACTTGGTGAGAATTTTGTTACCAGAAACGTTTTAAGGGTCAATTGTATGCAAGTTTTGAATTCATATTTTTGTGTCTCAACTTTCGTTTTCACTGTATTCAAATAGCGATGAAATATGATTATAAAACCTGTTCAACTCCGTGCTTTTTTAAAAAAAGCAGATTTTATTGCATCCAAAAATCAATAATTTTTAGGTTTGAACAGTTAATATTAGGAGGTTAGAATTTTGATTTTTTAATTGATTAACATATCTAATTTTTGATTAACATATCTAAAAAAAAGTAAATAAAAGTTACGTATTTTCCCACGGAAGAAAAAAAATTTCAGCCTCCTAATTTGGCAAAACTAAAAATTATCCATTTTTTGATACAACAAAATCTTCATTTAAAAAAAAGCACGGAGTTGAACAGGTTTCAAAATCGCCATTTGAATACATGAAAGAAGGGAAAGTTGAGACATAAAAAATTTAAGTTCAAAACCCGCATACAATGAACCCTTAATTTTTACCACGCACCCAACTGTCCTCGAATCCTGCTGCAATACGTATTTACCGTACAAGCGATGTCTTCCAAGTGGCAAATGTTGTTCAAATGGAGCAGAAACGCTAAGCCGAACATGACAAAGGACAAGGATCCCGTAATTGAATGAGACACTTTGTTTCCCGTGTGAATGGACAATTGGCTAAAAACCAGGTAGTACAGTTTGACAGCGATGTATGCAAATATCCAGGTGAGATTTATACCAACCAACGCTCTGTCCCTGCGCAGTGCGGGGGTTACTTTGCCAATTTGCGAATTCCATGAAAATGGCAAAAATTTTAGATATGAACCAAACGAAATTATTTTTATGATGGAGCAATTCTCCTGAAATGATGGAGAATTAGTATCTGGTTCAGTTTGGATACAAACATGACCTACTTTTTGATGAATGTAGATCTGTTGGCGATAAAATTTGTGTATTTGCATGGTTCTTGAGAATTGCAACATTTGCAAAAATTCTAGACGAAGAAGGTGGAAAGTGTACTAATTTATTTAGTAAATTTGTTATATCTTTTGTAAAATTGATGTAACTTTAATATGTGAGTCTTATATCCTCACTTTGAACCTATTTTACATGATTAACCAACTATGCGAGTTATGTACCTAAATTAATTTTGGAAACTTTTTCAAAATTTTGAAACACTTATGCATGCATCCTGAATGAACTTTGTAAACTGTGCTAGTAAATTTTATGCAAAACTGATTAACCTGAGTAAAATTATCTCGTTTATTCAGGTTACACGGCTACAAAGCTTCGCTAGAATAGTCTCAATATGCAAGTCTGGCTAAATTCCTAACCTAATGATTCACTTATTTCAAAGTCCTGATTTGTTCAGAATTTTACAAAAATATGTATTTTGTATGAATTGCAGATGGAAAATAATGTATTTTGTTCCTTTCAAAAAAATGTTCCAAATAAAATTTCCTAAAAATACAGGCAAGAGTGCTATACTACATGGTCAAACTGGTTTTGGTAGACTGTCGTCTTTACGCACTTTCTCCCTGCCCGTGAACTCCATTTCCCGTGCGTTTACTACGAGGCCAATTTGGGTCACGCACGTGTGTACCTGAATAATACGTCGACTGGCATACATACCTTCGACCAAAACAATGGTGTCCATGAAATAGATAGTTTGCACTCTAAGAAATCGTGTGATACATGATGTGACATGTGGCCAATAAAACCGTCACCATTCCGTGGCCGGTAACAATAAAGGACCGGATTGGTAAAGCCATAAATTAGTATTCCGCCCGGCGAAATTACCATATTTCTTAGGGTGCGATGTCACATATGTACATGTAAATGAAAACGATTTTCGCAACTCATCTTCAGTTTGTAAACTCAAAATCAGTTGGTAACAAAATGTCACCACTTTGAGATTCTACAATACCGCATTGTCACCGATTTTGCACTGGATGGATATCTAACAATGAAACTCAAACTAGACAACGACCCTATGACCGTCTAAAACTGAGATTTATGTATGTAGAGGATTTCTTGAAAACCTATTTAAGTATTCATGTCTCAATTTCTATGAATGCTAGAAATTCAAAATCTAAAATATTCAAAGTTTCTGTAAATTTCAAACCCTTTTTTACATTGATTATTACGAAACATAAACTTTTAAAATTCGTGTTACTTTAAAAGGTTAGGTCAGTCATACATACGTATTTCTTGACCATTGATGCCACTGATGTGACATACTTGTGAATTTAGGACGCTGCTCAATCCTCGTGGCCAAAGTCAATAAGTATGTTAGACCTCAATTTTAGTGTCTGATATGACACTACTTTCTCCGGGGTCAAAACCATCGATTTTCCACTCTCACGTAGAATTCCGCACGTATGTTAAAATCATAGCAGATAAACACGTATTTATGCAGGGCACATAATTATTTTGGTGTAGTACAGACGCTGTAATTAAAGACGGATTTACCGTACGGAAAAAAATTAATGGTAGACGGATAGTCATTAATTTGGGGACCAATTTTCGGGGAATTTTCTCTCCACCCCCTCCCGATTAAGATGGGAAGGATCGGATGCCTATTTAAATCCAATACTTTATGCAGAGTCCCGTCCTAAATCATTTGATTACTTATTTTGTTCTTCGTTTTTGTAATATTATTAATGCTTAAATTACTTAATTCATTAAACGCTTAGAATACTTAAGTTTTCGTCATAATTATCCGCATGAGCGTTTCATTGCCTCGATGGTAATGAAATGGTAATAATAGAATTTGCGAGACTTAAAACTGCTACCACAGAGGATTCTATTTCTCCCCAGAAATTAATATAGTTCAGTTATCTTTATCTTTTAAATGTTTTGATAGCTTACATACACACATGTTCAAGTTTGCTATCATCCCGGTAACAATTTTCCACTGTAGTATGACTAAAATTAATATGTTATCAGCATAGGTGGAAAATCGTTACGAGCGTGGTGAAGCAAATGAGCTTAGAAATTTACAATTTTGAAAATTTTGGCAAGCTTATCTGCCAATCAGTAGTTTTTACAAATTATCTAATTTAATTAATAAATCTCAGATGACGTGTCCCAATGATATCACTGATATCTGCTCTGTAAGCTCTGTGAGAAACTGAACTGGTAGATACCTAACTAAAATATCTTTGTAATGAAAAAATTTAACAAAATAATCTATCAATTTGTGCAAAATCAATAAAATTCGCAAAAAAAAAATTTCTGCTCACCCGAAGTCCAAACGCATGGGCGAGATCGGAGTGAAATAAACGATGTGGGGCAAGGCCAAGAAGGGTTAGCTGAATGTCCGGCCAGCCCTGTTGACCTCTGACCTTGGCGAGATTGGACGCGATCAGGGCAGTGGCCTGGAATCCCGTCGTAGTCAAGGGTCCCGTCCCTTGCTGGACAAATTGAAGAAACGATTTGGCACTAACGTCATCATCGTAGGAAAAAGTTTTTGGAGAATTTATTAAAAAAGGACCAATCAAGGTGGAAATGTGGTCTTGAAGGCCTTGGCCGACGGGCAGGTCGGATCTGACGGGAATCTGGAAATTCATAATTTATTCATAGGTTGTTAGTAAACGTTATCATAATTGAGCAAAAATGATGGTAATAGTTTTAATTTGTCTCCAATTTACATCAAATTTTAAGCTTCGGGTAAATATGTAAGTAGTGTTTTTATATAAAATTAGAACGACACAGATTTTGTATTAAAAATGCATGCGAAATTAAATCGTAGTGGTTTTTAGATTGCTGAAGTTTATATCCGAAGTTTATTTTTACAATTTTTACTAATTAAAAATGTGATGCAGGCACAATGACTAAGGAGTATACAATTTTGTAATTTCGATCTAATTCTTGGTCAAGTAATGTCATTTATTTATGTATTTTTACTTATTTATGGTGATTTAAAAAACATCTCCGAAATTGGGACAAAAACTTGTCCCAATTTAATAAGTCCCCACACAAATAAAAATCTATATATTCAAAAGTTGTGACATAAATTAGATTGTGAATTTTATCCCCCTTGATTTTTCAAGTTTAGAGCAAATAATTCGAATTTTAAGGTATGCATGGACATTTTAATTATGGACAATTTTTCGCATGAAAGAGAGGAAAATTTCATCATAGACAAAATGAAATGTCAATTTTTCGAATAATGGATTTAAAAATTACGTACGTTACACGACTCTAAAATTGATCTGGGTCCGATTCCTGACAGCATCAAAAGTTTCGGAGTTTGTAAAGTTCCGGCGGAAAGGATGACTTCTTTATTGGCGAAGGCTCGCCTAGTTTGGCCGTGTCGGTCATATTCGACGCCATAAGCGAAATTCGTCTCTTCTCGGATTAATACCTACCAAATAAGATTTCAAGTGTTTTAGTAAGGTATTTATTATGATGCCAAGAAATCGTGAAAAATAATAATAATAAAAATTTGCAGACCTTGTTAACATGGGCAAATTTTCGGATAAGGAGAGAACTCCGGTATCGTACTGGTTGGATAAAGGCTCGATAAGTGGCGATCCGGACGCCACGTTTTGTTGGGTAGTAGACTGCGTCAAATCCTGAGATGTGAAAAGTAATGATAGTGTTATCAAAATTATTGCCGTGTTTGGCAAATAATTACTTATGCGGTTGGCTCTACTATTTATTTATTTACGTTGGCAGCAATGCAATGCATTGACACCGTTTTTTGGGTTGATTTAACTTGGTATTTCAAAATTTAAAAAATACATAACTATAGTTAACTTAATTTAAATGGGTACTATTTGAGGACATTTTTTACTTGATTTTGTTATTGATAATTGCGAGATTTTTACGAGGTTTAGGTGACTTACAATTGGTTTTAATGGGTTTACACGATTTTCCGATGTAAAATACCTTGTAATTTAGCCTAGCAAAAGTATTTTTATTGCCCACTTTCGAAAGACGACTAAATCTACCCGATCTAGACTCTGACTCGTTATTTCAGAAAACTTGTCTCAAGGAAAAGTCAGATACGTTCCCAGAACTATTTATTGACCACGCAAAATATATCAATATCACAAAGTCTGATATATTTTGACAAGAGCTCACAATTACTTCACAATTAATCCTAATTCATCCTGAATTTGTACAATAATTATCCAAAACGGTATCGAGTTTTCTAGTCTATAATTTTACATGTAACGCCATAGAAATGTCTGCCAATTATTTTACGATTAAAATTATCTGTGTACATACGCCATAATTTAACACCCACAATGCATTTAAGTATGTGTTCATTCGCAATTTTTTTTTATATCATATTTCTCAAATGGGAAATATTTTTAGCAAGTCTTTGATCATAACATAATTTTCAATTAAATCTAAATATGCAGGTATACATTTCACAAAATATTTTTGAATTTTTTGGAAAATATGTAAAATACATATTTTACTTCCTATAAATGCCACGTAATTAATGCAGTTTTAAATAAAAGTTGTATCCTGACCTTCTTCATATTTTCCGTTGAGGTCTAAATGTGGATATCCCATTTCCTGGCCGGCCCAATTCCACTCATTTGCTAAACCAATTTCACTCGGCATCTCGATCTGAAGTGGACCCCCGACGCCATGCGCGCCACCTGAAATACGAACGGTTTTTTCTCCATAAATAACTTTTACGTGATTAAACATTTCATGGAAGTGTTACATCTACTCGTGTATGACGAATATTAAAAAATAAAAAATTCATGAACGGTTTACAAGTTTTATATTTTGTATTATAAAACATCAGTTAATGAGGGTATTCATTACGAGTTCGCATGTTCGCATCGCAACATAACTTTTTCGAAGTTGCGAATTTTACGAAGCACCGAAGTGAAGACACTTCGCAAATGACAAATTTCTGAAAATTTTATTCAAATGTCTCGAATTTTGTAATGGGAAAAATACGTTAATTTCCATTAGTTACCGAAATTTTGCATCTGAAATTTACTAAATAAGAAATTTCAAAAATTCAAAAGGCCAAACTTCGGTAACCAATAGAGATTTATGGACTTTTCCCATTGAAAAAATTGTGAAAAATATTTTGCGAACTAAATACTAGCCCTGGAGATGCACAAGTTCTGAAAATGTGCGAACTTGCGAACTTTATTTTTTTGCGAACGTTGCTAACGATGTGAACTCAAAATGAATACCCTCAATATTTATGTAAGAAACTTTGCGTGATAAGCAATTAGTTCGTATTTATTTTTATATCCCAATACGGTTTGTGTGGCTTCAGATTAGTTTGCAAAATGCAAACCCAGTTTGTTAATAGTGAGATTGCAGATTCCTTCAATTTGAGGCAATCTACATTTGTAAAAATTTTATTCAGAATCTGACTAAAAACAATTTTCCAAAAATCTTATACTATTATACTAATTATATTTGGTTTCATCATCTAATTCAATTATTTTACTAGACAAAAAACAATTATTATTTTCGGAAGTTAATATGCTCAAAAATTATAAATTTTATTGCCCAGTCGCTTTTCTATTCACGTGTTAATTGTGCTTTTGCTATTATTGGGTGATGTTTAAGTAGGAATGAAACATGCGTAATGTTTTACCAATGGGTAATATTTTCTTACCAATTTAGTAACGGTATTTATCAACAAGTTGCATTCTAAATTTTGTAGGTTTCGTTGAAGAAGAAAATAATTTGCATAAAACAGATCACTAACCATCCGTCGTACTGCCGACGAAATGTTCGGAAGCTGTGAAGTGGGGGAGGACTTGATCGTAGGACCAGGTCGGGTCTCCAGTAATTCTGGCCCAGTTATCGAAATCTTTTGGACTTCCTCTCAGATGGACCATGTAATTGAGATTGCCACTCCCACCCAAGTTCTTCCCCTGGGAAAACGTGTAGCGCTGTAAATGCATAAAAAATATATAGCGTGACTTGTTTTAGAAACTTTAAAAAAACAGAGATGCTCGAAATCTGTGTAAGTCTGAAATTGGTTTGTAAAATGAGTTTCCTTCGTAATCTTTGCAAATTTGTTTAAACTTTTGCAATTTTGGGAAGGCAGAAAAATATTTTGCTGAAAGCTTCGTATGGTCCGATCCATCTTATTTTGCTATAAAATATTATTAAGTTTCTAAAATTTATTTAGGCAGTAAAATCTAACAATTCGAGTACAAATTGGTAAAAAAAAATTACATGTACTAATCTCAAATTATGTCCGTAATTTATCATTTGCGCCGACATCAAATGGTTTTAGTGTGCACACTAACCTTACAAACGGTTTAAAATTCATTTTCAATTTTGTAGAAATATTTAATATTATAAATTTCAAAATTTAGTTATTTATAACTGTTTATGAATTTTTCGAAAGTTTCGTAGAATATTACAAAAATATGTAAAATAATTTTGGTAACCTTCGTAATTTAAGTAAATTTGTTAATACGTCGTGTTACCAGAATGTGTAAATTTTGATAATGCACATCCACATTAACGGGTAAAAAATTTATGGAATTTTTATAGTTCAAAACAAAAACCTTGTAAACCTTGTAAAACCTTGTATATTTATCACGAGTATTAGTAAAAATTTCTTTATTCTACATAATTGTTTTTTTAATTACGTATTAATTATCTTTTACATATTGACGCAATGCCTTAAATCTGTTTTTTAATTAGTAAACTTGACTAAATCTGCAAACTAATACAAAATTATAGATTGACTTCTATGATTTTGTGGAATATATTTTTGGGAAAGTACCATTTTATGATTATTGTTTGTCCTTGCCTTGGGAAAAGATGCCCCACCGTTAGTAAACTACTTTATTAGGTTGAAATAGTTATTATTTTAAGGTTTTATTCAATGCCGTATTAAACTTGAGATTTAATTGTAGTAGTGAAATTGGGAGCGTGCATAAAGAATGTGGCAGATAATCTGCCACAGATTAGAGTTAGTGGTGCAGCTCAGGATCGATGTTAATTTGAGATTGGAATTTAGAATTATTAGCTATCCGACGTTTCATATTCATATTTTATCGAAATATTCAACCCGTTATACTAATAATAATAATAATAAGCATTTATTATCCTCATTTACTACTACTAGTGATTACAAAATTCAGGGTTAATAGTAAAAAAACATATTATCCAATTGATTTTGCAAAACAAACTAGAACTATTTTCATGAGCTTACAGTAACAAAATTATATAATTAATCTTATTTACAGTTTAATATAGCCTAATTAATTATTCGACAAGTGGGGGATTTCTAAGGTTTACAATTGTTTCTAGTTTATAACCATAAATTGTTTGAGATTTTTTATACTCCTCATTAATTTTATTAATAATTGCATTAATAGTTGAGTTTTGATACACCGAATTTTTAATATAAGGTTGAACAATAATATCCTTTTGTGACCTCAATGACCTCAAATTTTGGTTGTCAGTAAATAATGGTAGAAAATAATTGTATCTTCCAATTAATAACTTGAAACCGAATTTTTCAAGTGCAGTATTCCTCCTACTTTCCAATGATTCTATTTTATGTAATTCTAAAACTTCCTCATAATTGAACCTATCGACCCTTTTACGGTTAATAATTGAGAGTGCTCTTTTTTGCACCCTTTCCAACTTATTAATTAATTTAATACTTAATCCGGGACCCCAAACTACTGAGCAATATTCGAGATTAGACCGCAAATAAACACAATAAGCTCTTACCAGCTCGTTAATGCTAAAGCCTGCTGTAAAAAGTTTACGCAATTGAAATAATTTTGAGTTGGCTCTACCAACAATATTTTGAATATGGGCGTCCCATTTAAAACTACCAGTAATTGTTACTCCTAATATTTTAATTTTTTGGACAAAAGGGACCATTACATTATGAATGAAAAATTTGGATTCGTATTTAATCCTGCGCCCTCCAAAGTTAACCAACAATATTTCACATTTTTGAGGATTCGGGCTAATCTTGACTTCCGTACAACTACTAGCTAAACAATCCAATGCTTCCTGCATTTTTGGGCGATTGTTAATAACTCGCTCAACTAGTACAATATCATCGACAAATCCAGCACAGCAAAAATTTGGATTGTTGATAAAAAAGGCCTGTAATTTCTGTAATACTTAATCAATCACTAAAATAAATAATAAAGCAGCTAATTTTGTGCCTGCTGCTGTTCCACAAGAGAGGAACTCCTCATCGGATAAAACCTTTCCATTTTTTACAATCTGGGTTCTCATTCTCAAAAAAGAAACTATCCACAGAACATCAATTTCATTTACACCGAAATAATTAATTAACAGATCAACTAATATTTTATGATCGACTAAATCAAACGCTTTAAAACTATCAATACCTGCTACTATTACCGTCGTTCCTGGAATTTCAGCAGATTTTAATATAAACTGATTAATCTGCACTAAATAATGAGAAGTAGATGAATTTTTAAGACTCCCAAATTGGTTCAAATTTATCTTCCCTTCTACCTGCTTATACAAATTATCGAACATAAATGATTCAGCTAATTTAGAAAACACATCCGTCTGCGTAATTGCCCTAATATCATTCAACGAATTACATGTCACTTTCTTTAGTAAAGGAGTGACATATCCTTTTTTCCAAGTTTCAGGAAATTTGAAATTTTGGAATGATTGATTTATTATGTTAGCTAATAATGGGCTAATGAAGTAATTTGCACTTTTAACTAATGTGCTGGGAATCAAATTGGGACTGTTACTCTTTTTACTACTTAATTTACGAATTGCTTGACTAACTTGGAGATCAGTAACTTTGATTGGTCGTGAATCGCGGGGGAGCGGACACAAGTTTATAAAATCACACCCTTCATACGTTGTACATATTTTTGAAAAGTGGGAGTTTACTAAATTGGCTAATTCTTTCTCATTACTGTTCGAAAATGTACTATTAATTGATTTAATTTTGGTAAACGCTGAAACAATTTCCAAACCACTAACTTTACGGACTAATTGGTACCAGTCGGATGAGTTCATACCAGGTACTTCCTCACTAAATTTTTGCCTAATTCTGGTTTGTGAAATTTTAATCTGATCTTTAATCTTACTCCTTATGTCTTTCAATTTACCTATACATTTTTGTTTCTTTGCCTTTCGCTGTTGTTTAAATAACTTCCTAATTCTTGATGTCATCCAAATCGGATCTACTTCACAAATAGTTTTCTCGTATAAAGGTGGAACACAATCATACGCATGACTTAATAAATTATTTAGCTGCACAACTTTCTGATCTAGACTAAAGTTATTAAATTCGTTTACATCTACCTGAATATTGTCAAGTTGCTCTATAAACTGCTCAGAAATCTGATTAACACTTGGTCTACATATTATTGTTTTAAGAGGTTTCCCACACTCAAAACATGATAGCGGACTCAAAGATAAGCATCCATGAACCCGATTTTTTAAAGTTGATTTGACTGGCGGAAGCAGTTCAGGCTCCTCATAATATAAGTTTAAGTCTGTAAAAATAAGATCCAAATTAGAACTAGTTGATTTAGTTGAGTTAAAAAATGTTGGAAATGAAACAATTTGCTTTAACTTAGACGATTTAACAAATAACTTGTAATCCCACTTATTGAAATCACCTAAAATTAATATACCCGGACTTTTATATTTACCCCTTAATTTCGTAACCAATTCAATCAAATAATTATCCAATTCTCTGCTTAAAGTATTCACAAATTGAGGAGGTAAGTATATAGCTACCACAATAATACAACTTAATGAATAGGGTAGAAATTGGGGTTTTAGCAAAATAACTAACGATTCAATTTGTGAGTCGACTTTCAGATTAATATTACAAATTTTTGCCGAGATTGTTTTTCTAACAAAAATGGCTAGCCCGCCACCCTTTTTTATCGATTTCTTATTTCTAATTTCTATTTTTTGAAAACGTTTCAAAACCATGAAGATAACTAACATGATCATTTTTCCACCAAGTCTCCACAAATACACCAATATCATACTCAACTAAAGTACTCTCAAGAGAATTTAATTTGTCAGGAGACAAAGAAGTTGGATTAGTATAGAATACTCTAGGTACACATAATGGTAATTTTGATAACTTACTACTACAGTCTATCTTGACCAGATTTAATAGATTTGCGCCAATGTGTTTTGACTCGACAATTTTATTTTCCCGACGTTGTTGACGTTGTCGTGCTTTCCTTTCCAAACATTTGCCCCTTTTCTTGTGGTTCTTATGTCGTCTTTTCCATTCATCACCTGGTGCTCGCCCCCTCTTGACAGTCTTGAAGGTATAATTGGGAAAGTTTTGAAGAAGTTGAAAATCAGCCAGGTCTTTAGATAAGGTTGATGAAATTTTAATTCCATGATGACGACTCTGTTTCAATAAATTAATTTTTTCTGCAGTTTTTTCATTTAAATATAGGATTTCCAGATGTGTAGAATGATAAGTCATGCCAAGAAACTTGACTTGCCCGCAAGGGGTAGCTTGCGAACAAGACTACCCCTGATTTTGATGAAAAACGAAACTTTCCAAGTCCATTGTCCACGTTGAAATTAAAAGTCGCCACACCGTTGTCAATTGTGATAAATATGGGATGAAATTTATATCAGATACTAGAGTAAACCTAAGTGTACTAATTTGACTTGTTTTTTTATAACTTTAAACGATTTGTAATTAATTCGACAACTTTTTCTAAAAAATTTACGAAGACTCACAAAAAACCAACCCATGCTGCTCAAAGGAACGCGCGGGAATTGAAATGATGTAAATGATGTAAATACTAAATGATGTAAATTTTTCTTGTTGTGCTCTATGGGCCAGAGGCCTAAAAGAGTGGTGGAATAAATCAATCAATTATCGAAATATTCAAGCACATTATAAATCTATAAATATATTTACTGAAAATGCAAATTCTTATTTTCAGGTGCAGACATCAAAATGAACCAAAATTCTAGGTACCGCCTGCATGATATTTTCCTCACTTTTTTTTACAACCGCTTATGTTACAATACATCACCCATTGGTAACAATCGTTCCAGAAATATGGAAATATTTTCAAATGCACTGGAATCAATATCTCGCGACGGGGTGTCAAATTTGAGGTTTGTGTTACCGTTCAGTGCTAAATCGTTACTCATCACGTGGCAGAGCGTCATATCCTCGGTGACACGTAGATGATTAACTCCTGTCAATATTTACTACGTATGTGCAAGTATTGATTCGTACGAAATAAAGTATTTTGAAATAAACGCATTGTTCAGGAATTGATGTCATGTTCAACTCTATAGATTAACTAATGATTCGTTTAATTTAACTTCTTACAATTTTTCAGCCTTCGCAATCCGCAGGGTTAAACAATGAGTAAAAGAGACACGACTGACACCCATTTAATTCTTATAATTAGTGTGAAGTGCACTCAGATTGCGAATCTGAAGGTGGATTAATTGTGAAACTTTTTATAAAATGTTCCCACGGCCAAAACCTACAATGAATAAATGGGCATATGCACGTCAAAAAGGTGGAAATCTTGCTAATTTATAACACACATTTGATTGTACCCAATTTGGAAATATGTATTTTGGGAAATACGTGGTTATAATTTGACACTGATTGGTAGAAAATTTTATTTTCGAGGTGAGCACGTGTTACTAATTCGTGCTAAATTATGTACGGATTTGCACTACCAATATTACCGGTACCCTCAGTAAGTAGTGCCGCGACTAGACTAGTTTATTACCGACTGTCGGTAATAAATTTTATACCAAATTGTTAAATTAAAGAAATATATTAATAATTCGGCAGATTTACATGTTTTTTTTACTGGAATAGTATTTTTGTGTGTAAAATCTATTATTCTGGGTATTTTTTGTAATTTTTTAGCAAAAATTACTTAAGTTTGAGGTGAGCAGACCTAACCTAACGCGTAAAATGTGTGTGTAGCGTAACTCCCGTTGCATTGTAATTTGACAATCTCATATCATCATTAATATTACGCAATTTAATGTAAAGCTTGTATGCATGTATGTAAGTCATTACCAAATGATGGGATTTGTGAAATATTTAAAACTGGCGAAAGGTACTACGTACATAATACATACAATTATGTATTGTGACGTTTGTAACGCTGCACGTAAAATTAAGTTGTCTGTGTAATGTCCATCTTGACTGTGTAATTGATGCAAATGCCGCCGCTTGCCGGATTGCATTTCCATTTCCGGTCAGGTTTTGCAAACACGCATCCCATCATTAATTTAAATTCGTTTGAATCAAGAAATTGCAAGAGACCAGACGACCAAGTGTTAAATCGTCCTAGAATATTTGCGAGTATTTAAGGACGTTGTGTTTCTGGTTAATATTTTACAATGTGGCGTAATTAATAACCAGATCATATCTATTTCTGTATGTAAGAAAATGTCAGGGGCAAATTTCTTATGTAACATTGGCATTCATAAAGATTCATAAGATTGGCGTACAAATTGTCGAAATGAATGTTTAAAATCAAATATCGTATATAGTAAATATTTCTAATGACGCATCTTGATTTAAACAATTTTTAAAAACAGGTAGAATTTTGAAGACAAAATTTGTACAAATTAATCTATAAAATCTTCATAATTCTTTTGTAAGAATTTGCAATTAAAAATTATAATTACTATAATTATTTTGAATTAAAAATTTAGTATCTCTTTCAATACATACTGATTAAACTATTTTTTAAGGTATACGGTGCAAGTGCATGTAAAGGCAACATTTGTCCTCAAAAATTAAGCACTAAAATCGGGATAATTATTTTGCAAAAAATTTTCAGTGGCATTGTTAAATTTGCAAAATTTTTAGCATAATGAATTTTGAACAGCTTCCGGTCAACCCGCAATCGACACATTTAAAAATCTCTGATTAAAAATAAGCACTGAATTTGCTCACCTTATCCACACAGGCTAGACAGGAAGTGGTCTGTGGGACGGACTTGTGGGACCAGTCCGTCGCGGGATAATTGGGGATGAAGAGGGCGAGGGCGGGAATGGCTTGAAAGGGGTGTGACTCACCCCCCGCCTCCAACAAGAGGACCGTGTGGTACTTGGATAACCTATTCGCCAAAACAGCACCCGCACTTCCACCTCCAACTAAAAATCAAATGCAAATATTTATCACCAATTTTTTACAAAAAAATTCGTGGACAAATAAGTTATTTAATTTTAGAATCCTAATTTTACAAGGCTCTTAAGCCTTAATTATTTGTTTTAATTCATATCAACAAGTCCAGCTCAAAGAGTAAGTGAAAAAAAAGTAATAATTTGAATAATTTTCAAGCCGAATTAAAAAATTTGTTTAATATAAATTTAATTATGTAACTAAGATTCCCAGTTTTCTATTTCTTGCTTTATAAAGATTTATTTCGCTGGAGACAAGTCACTTGATTGTTTGTAACTGTGTAAGTAATTTTACAAGCTTCTATTCACCACGTAAAAATGCACCGGCAAATATGTATCTACAATAGATTTTTGTGATATGAATTTTTTTCATAATATTTCTAAACTTGTAGAAACTCTTCAAAATTTGGTGGTTTTACTGGATTACAAACATTTGCGTGAATGTCATTTAACATAATATGTTTCTTAAAAAATTGACATTGCGTCAAACAACGCCCGTGATGTGCGTAAAGCTACAAAAAATTATAAGCTGATTTTTTCAAACAATTTTCCTAAAATTTTGTAAGCTTTCGAATTTTACTGGGTTACAAACACTCGAGTAAATTGCATCCATAATTTGGAAAATCCTTTAAAATTTTGATTTCTTGATTACGTACCAATTATGAAGTCGAAGGTATCCTGCTGACTGCGGAAGGGGTCGGTCAACTGATCCTTGACACGGTCCCCCTTTTCCCAGCTGGCCGAAAAAATTGCGAGGGACGCTATCACGCCGTACAAAACAGGGGTGAAAAACACGTTTTGAAACGCGAAGCGAAATGCGGATAAGATTCCCATCTCGTTTTTAGTATTTTTAGTTAATTTTAACTGGAGCACATTTATTGATTAATTAGTTAGTTCTGATTATGTTTTTGTGAAAATTTAAATCCGGCACTAAAATTTGATTAGATTTATGTACTTTTAATTTTATTTATTTATAAGTTCCGAATTTTGGAAATAATTTCGAATTTCATCACAAACACAATTATGCTTAAGTGTATCACATAATTTTAAAAATTTTTACACGGTCAAAGTATACATCGTGCACAAAGAATTTTATTTATTAAAACTCGAAATTTTATTTCGTTTTTGAATTTCCAAAAACTTTAGGTACGGAAAATTATAATGTACAAATCAATTGGAAAAATTTCTTGGGATGATTGAGTACGTGATCTGCATAAATTCTATAACTATTATTATATCCCTAAAATTACTTATATTGGAATCAAAATGGCACAATAGTTTCAGTATTTTTTTAGTAAAATAAAAAAGCTCTACCTTATCTTAAAACTATTTATAAAACTTAAAAGTTATAAATAATGCTAAAAGTGCAATTAGATATCAGATACACCAGAACCTGTTATTGAGTTCAAGGGTTACAAATTTTGATAAAATATATAAATCGGCATCGAAATATTGCAATTTTGTGAATAATGTTTGTTTATTATTTTATTAACTTTTTTAAAAAATTGACGTTAATTTATTTTGATTCAAATTTGATCAATACTAAAATTTCTTGCTTTTAAAAGGAATTTGGGTATTAAGGTAATTTAAAAAATTAATTAGAATTTTATACCGCAGAAATGCATATTATCTCGTTTGAGCTCTACTCGGATGAACAATTTATCTATTCGATTCAATTTTCTCATACAATTAGTCTAATCAAATTTAGTTCTAACTAAACGTATGCAATAACTTATCTTCGTCAATTGCGATATATAAATTACCAATTCACGTATTGCCCATAAACCCTAAAAGCACAAATCACTATTGCACTGAAAAATAAAGCCGGACGCGTGAAAAATCTGAACTCTGATCACATGTAAAAAATCTTCTGTTATAATTTTTAATTCAAATTAATTCCATTCCTAATTTAATTACCTTTCATAACTATCCTTATAAAAAATTTATGTACAATATTTTTCTTGGAATTAAGATTACAAAAAAAGTCGGGACAATTAAATGCATTAATTTCATAAGATTAGTGATTTAGGAAATTAAAATTGATAACAAGACAAAATCACTGTCATAATTTTGCATTTATGAAAATATAATTTTGAAAAAAGCTTATACCCCAGAAAAAATAATTTGAATAGTTAACCAACTACTCGTCGTTTATTAAGTAAATTTTGGCCAAATTCTACGTCACAATATTCGTTACATATAAAGAAAATTGATAAATCACTGGAAAATTGTTGCACAAGGATACAAAAAATGCTACACAGTTCACAAAAATCCTGAATTTTGGTCAAATTTCCAAATGCGTTATATTGCGAATTTAATTCCAATTTATTGTATCGGAATGTACAAACACCTTTTATTCTCAATAATTGTAAAGTTTCCAAAAATTTGTAATTCTGGCAACGAACTTGCACATTCGTTACTCAAAATTAAAGTTGTTTATGTTTTTCTCTGGACAATTAAGTAAATTCATGTGGCAACCTTCGTGACGTAAAGTATTGCACAATTGGGAACGAAATTGAGAAGAACTTCTTACTGCATGGAGATCATTCAAGGACGTGAACTTGTTTTAGGGGATTTCTCATTTTTGCGAATGCCAAATTTTTCGCGAGAATTGTTCTCCCATTTGTTAACGAATTACTTATTTGACATAATAATTTCTATGCATTTAATTCACTAAAATTTCCACTCTCCACTTCCTGATTTTTGTTCATTCTTATTTCAAAATTAAGAAAATTTTTAAACAAACAAATTTGAATTTGATTTGCACTTGAGTAAAAAACAACTAAATTATCGAAATTTATCTCTTGCTTGACTAGGAGCACAAAGTAACGGCTCGTGAACGTGGATACGTTTTGTGTACAAAAAAGTGAAGCTTGTTTTGCCGACAAGCAAAAGTGCAAGTGAGTGAAGGAAGAGATGGGTGTAATAATGTGTGAATTATTGTTATCATTAAAGTGTGTAAGCTTGATGTGGTGTGATGATTATGGACGTCTTAAATCAGTAGCAGAATGAGTATGTTCATTGCATGCAGAAAGACAGGGTTACTTACAAACAGAGACGATTCACGCAGTTCTTGGAATCTTGGTTAGCAAAGTTTGCACAGTTTTACACAAATTTCAACGGAAAATCAGGTTATAAACTTTTGTAAACCCCGCAGATTAAGAAAGAACGCTTGTTTTTTATTATGGCAGTATTAATAAAATAGTTGTTTCGACAGTTACAGAAGTAACAATGCTTGAAAAACTATGTGAATTGTCTCTTCGCTCTTTATAGTTTTGTTCTAAAATTAAAATTTTTTTAAAGAAATTTTAGAATTTTTGCAATGTTTGTATCTTTCGGGTAAAATATGAAATTTAGTTTCAAAAAAATATTTTTGGACTATAAAATTTTTGAACCCGAGATACTTTGTGTCGTATCGATATTTTTTAAAGCATGAAAATGGGAAACCAAAAACATTGAAAAATACATATGATGTTTTTTGGAACCCTGTCTGTAGGTATTATGTATTTGCAATTTGTATTTAACCTTTTTCATAAAAATTGTTTACTGGTGTAGCGTGGTAAGAAGGGGACACACATCAAGAAAGTGATCGCTTTTCGAGGTTCTCGAGGTGTGATCTAATTGTCCACAATGTAATTAACATGTCATATGATTAGGTGCTTGACCCCTGACCCCCGTTCAGTCGTTCAAACACCTTATGAATGTCCCCTTACTTGGTTGGGTACATATGGTTTAGTTTTTAATAGGTAAAGTTAGCCTGCGACTGCAAAAAATAGGGATAGGAAATGTTCTCACGACCTTTTTCTCATTCCCTGCATTGTACTTTGAGTGTCCTAGGAATTAATATTTTAATAGATTAATAAAAAGTCACAATTATGGCCCTGATGAGGTATATTGTCTCGAATTGTAGCAATTTGTAAATAATTAGGCAAGGATTAATCAATTTATTGAGGAAATTGAAGCAGGCCTTGGTAACCCAGTAAACTTCCAAGCAGGACCAAGCTAGCGATCACCAGATTTTGTAAAAACCGTTAAATAATTTTGCAAAAGTTCTACAGTTTTACAAAACTAGCGTGCAAAAAAAACTTAAAATTCTCGAATGAGTGATCTCAGATTACGAATACATATGAAGGAATTTTTTAGAAATTTGGTAAGGTCCAACAGAGTGACCCACACTGGTTTTTAAAAGTGGTCTAAAATACTGAAATTTTTCATGCTGGAGAATGTGACAGTTAATGATGATTAAAATTCTGAAATAACTTGGGCCAAGAAAGCTATAAGATGAAAATAACCGAGCTCGTTGAATTTGCATTACTCGTGCGTGATGACCCTTATGCGACTCCCATTAATAAAAACTATTAACCAATCAATCAATCAATCTAAAATCTTTGAGGGATAGGACACAAATTTAAAATATGATTTTTCTTCCTGACTCGGGCAAAATGAAGTCTGCACTGTATGTATGTTCGGTTAATATTTGATATGTTCTTAAATAGGTGCATATTTATCTTTCGAAATAACTTTGTTAAATATGCAATAGATATGTTAATTTTGCAGAAACAAGTAAATGGGTTGGACATGCAAAAATCAAAATCAAACTTTGCTTGATTGAGTTATTTAGGTAGCATTTGAGAAATTTTTGGAAAAAATTCCGCTATTATTACATACATACCTATATTTATTTATGGTTAATGAGGATTTTTTATTCTGAAATAATATAAATCCACTAAATACGGCATTCTTGAATGGGTATGTCACTTATTGCAAAATACGAATTTACCCATATATTTGCACGAAATTCTGTAAATTTGTCTTGCATAAGTACATGAGACAGACTAAAACGTTTATGAAACAAGACATGCCATAAAATGACACGAAACCGCACTATATTTCCTGGTATTCAAATTTGCGGATGTTGTGCAAAATTTGACTAATTTCTTTATACAGCTTCTCTTCAGAGTAGTCTTCATGTACACAGAAATCTAGGCTGACATAATAAGGACACTTATTTCCATGGGATGATAAATATAACTAAATCAGAGATTCTTAATATTTACATAATTTAACCTCCAAAAATATGTATGATATATGAAATAACAAACAATTCTACATGAATTACACATACGTTCATCACATTTATTACAATAAGGGCAAGCTCGGACCATTAAAAAATTTTTTAGAACTTAGAGTAAACAAAATCGAAAATCCAGAAACGTACATAACTTGTTCTTTTTTCCTCAAGTTAGTTAACGCCACTCATAAATTTCCGGAAGTGTTTGTTCTATTGCTGTAAATGATCTTGATCCTGCAGCAGAAAAGTAATAAAGAAAAGAATAAACACGTGCCAAGCCCGGTTTGGTCGGTCTTGTTAATAACGTCGCCTCGAATGTGGTGAGAAATTGATGAAAATGGAGCACATTTTCGACTAAAAATAAAATCAACAGCCAAAAAAGCTTTTAACTTAATAATTGTGATAAAATTTTATTAAAATGTTTGCTAATTATGCGTCATAAAGAAATATATTGTACATATTTACCTATATCACCATTTTGAATCATTCAGCAAAAGCCGGCTAAAAATTGATGGAGATCTGAACTGACGAAAAACTCCTGTTAAAGTCGTGTACCCATGTACTCTGAGCATCAATTTGCATACTCCTTTGGATTAATTCGGGAGACTCTGAAATATGTCACCCCGCCCAAAAGTCCAGTTAGTTCTTGACCAGACTGAAGGCATCCTTTCTTTCCAAAAACAATGGGAATAGATGAGAATGCGGATAGAGAGAAAATAATTTGAAAAAACTTAACATCAAAGAAGCACGGGTGTTGGAGATAGTTGTGGAGACAGTGGAGTGATGGACACACAATATTGGAATTGCTATACGAGCGAGAAAGTGAGACTGAAATACATAGAAGTTGCTCAATTTCTCCATTCAGTTAAAGATAATGGAAATGTGTGAGAGCTTGATAGTGCAAGACGATAGCATCATTATTGGCATTAGAGACATTTTCATGCATAGTTTTTATGAACTTTTCAAAATTCGTCTTTATTTTCGTAAAATGGAAACGTTAAATATTTTTCGTTATTCTTGTTTACATAAAATCACTTGAAAAAATATATTATTAAAATTGAAGTTGAAATTTACATCGTAATCGTGTAAAGATAAAGATTTAGGACGATCAGTTCCTTTCATCATTTTGTCAAATGTCCCTGACTTCTTCTTTAGATTTGATATTTAAAATACGAAGTCTGGGTTATCAAAGTAATTAGTTTGAGAATAAAGAAATATCATTATTTCGGAATTTAAGAATAAAATAAGGCTTTGAAAATTTGCAGGGGTTTACATAGCACTGGTAGCAGTTATTTTAATTGTTTAGAACTAACAAATCTATATCATGCCTATGTGACACATCTAGAAAATCGCGATTTTTCGCGGTACATAATTAATCGGCAACCCCAAGATGATTGTTATTTAGCAGTAGTTAAATCTATCTTTTCAATTTATGTGTGGTGAAGAAAGCTCCTCTAAAATAGAAGTTATATAATCTAAACTGACGTTTCTGCCTTGTCATAAACACCACCGGGATGGTACATATTTCTATTTCTTCCTGAGCTGTACAAGAAGTAGATTAACTTATTTACTAAATTTGTCACAATGTTTACTCTGTCCAGAAAAATTTGACCAAAATATTCCACACTACACAAAATAAAAACGTGGAATATAAACTAGTCAGGATTCTTGTAAGCTTTCTCTTTAATTGAGATATAAGTACCCTACTTTTTAGGGCATCGAATCGAATAAATAAATAAATCATGAATTGTCTTTTTGTACAGCAAAATTAACGATGAGATCACATTACGACAAAGTACCGCCCACCAATTTTTCAAAATCGTACAAAACTCACTCAGCCTTCACCCAAACGATGCACTTTCTTCTAAATTATATAATTTACTTACTCGGAGAAAGTTTCGCAAATGGTACAACAGGGAAAGCTACTTTGCGT